ACTCGTCAAAAATCTGCGAAATGTCACCACTCATCTCGAATCTCTACTCCGCCCGAGGAACGACAAGATAGAAGCGTTCTCCCATCTGAATTCGGTTTCTTTTATTTTGTCCCTTGTGGGGATGAGCAGAAAGTAGGAGCAGAGTATGTATGGAGTGTGAAGTTGAGGAAATGAGCGAAAAAAGATCCAACTGAAGAAATCTTGAGCGAATTCGAGGTTCTACAGCCGGTGTCAATTCTTCAGCTGTTGCCACCTGCCCAAGGCCTGCAAATCGAATTTGTGGCCTTTGGATCACCCAGGTCAGAATGAGCATCCTTCTGGGACTGTAGTCGTCATTTTTAAAACATGGCCGTCCTAGCGGTTTGGTTTGGCGTTAAAGTAATATCGAACTGTTATTATGCCTCCGTAGGCGAGGATGGAGCTCCATGGGAGTACTAAGACGCATCGTGTCTGAAGTCCCAACGATTATTTAGAACCGTTGATTCTCATTAAGGATGTGAAAGAGAACCGAAGTCTCGAGTGATGGAACCAATGAAGTCCATGGCAGAGCCTCTAAAGCTTGAAATGTCGAGTTCATGCTGTCAATTTTCCCGGTCCAAGGCTCCACATGTGCACCTTGTCAAGCCACTCCACGACCCTGCGGCCCCACATTTTCAATGTTGACTTGACTGGATCCTAGTCGGTGCGAGCGCTGCATCAAATCCAAATCTCATCATTAGCCTCAAACTCCAACCCATACTTGCAGCGCCATGTCGGAGCCCTCCAAAGGTCGAATAGCCATTAAATTCGGCTCAACATCTTCAACCCCGTCCTCTAACAAAACCTCCCGTCCAGCACCACCATCAAGCCTCGGAAAGCGGCCCCGATCCCACGCTGCCCTCGGCGCAGACTCGGACTCAGACTCAGACGACGACCGTCGCGGACGCCACGAAGCCATCACCGGGTTCGGCGCAGATGGTGCGGAGACGCGACACAAAAAGAAGGAGGATGTGAAGAGAGAATACGTCATCGAGCGGCAAGCGAATAGAGATTGGAGAGGGGAGATCCGCGCACAGAGGGGAGACAATCGACCCGCGGAAGCCAGAGGACACCAGCACAACCAAAATGGGAGCGCAGAGAGAACACCAGCAGACCAAGACAAAGGTCTATTATGGGGCCTGACCATCAAAGAAAAGAACGACCAGCCTTCCCCCGAGCCACAAGACACCCCGTCAGAGACGGCCAAGGAAGCACCCAAACCCAAGACGGCAGACGACGAGGCCCTCGACGCGCTGCTAGGCAACAAACCGAAAGAAACCAGAGTCATAACCACCGAAGACGACGTGTACAAACGCGATGCCGCAACCGCAGGCGCCGCCTCCACGCTGGAAGACTACGAAGCAATGCCCATTGAAGAATTCGGCGCCGCCCTCTTGCGCGGGATGGGATGGGACGGGGAACACCGCGGGCCAAAGTCAAAGGACGTGCGTAGGCGGCAAAACCGACTCGGCCTTGGCGCGAAAGAGCTGAAGGGTGTAGAAGATCTAGGCGGTTGGAACCAGAACGGCGCGAAAAAGAGGAGCCGGCCCCGGCTGCACGAGTACAATCGGGAACAAAATAAAAGAAAGGAAGAACGAGGCAGAGAAGATAGCTATAAGAGAGAGCGGGAGAGGGAGAGGGACAGAGAGAGAAATGGTCATAGGGAACGAGATAGGGATGGGGACAGAGATCATCATAGAGATAGGAGAGAAAGGGATATGGATAGGGATAGGGATAGGGGTAGACACAGGGACTACGACCGGGATAGAAGACGGTAATTTTGAGGAGTTCGTTGCAAAGAGGCAACGTTTCCCGAGGTGGCTGCGAGAGTTGAACTTTTATGACCCGCACAGCACTGTTGCGAAATTGCTTGAACCACCACCATAGAATACCAATACCCGATTCATGTTCGATTCATCCCTTCACTGGCCGCCATGGGTGCGGTCCAGACGACAATGAGGCCGGTACACCTGCGAGGCAACCAGAGTGCTGTCTGCGGACTCTGAACACTATGAGCTACCAGATACGAGTACTGGTAGCATGCCTAACGTAGCTCAGCCGTCAACTCGGGGGTCGTAGTTGCGATGCTCTCGAAAACGTGGCCTCGCGCGCAGGACTTCGGAACAGCCAAGAAACATGCACCACCAACAAGCAACAGCAGTAAACTCTATACCAAGAAAATAAATTGTGCATTTCATGTTCGTAAACCACCGCCCATTCACTCCATACATACAAGTCAAGTAACTAGTCCCAGTTCAAAATACCTGGGCCAACAAACCCACCGCGACCAAATGCCGTATACCGTTCCGTCTGTTTGACTAATTTGCGCAAGTCGTCACTGCAAAGGTACCCTCTCAAGTACATCCTTCAATATTCCCAATTCCATCACCGTACTTTTATGGTCGTCAGACTTTTCAATCTCCCCGATCGCCATCTCCTCAATCAACAGCCCACAGGCATGCAGCAGTGGTTGCACATAGCGGTGTTCAATAGCGGCAGCCATGCCCGCCGGCGCAAGGTCCTTGTACTCATTTCCAAATAGGAACAGGGCAAAGTTGGCGGCTTGTAGGTGGAACGGGGAGCCTTCTGCCCAGAATTCCAATAACGTCTCGATATCCGCTTCCTTGAGATATGTCAGGTCAGGAAAAAGCGTGTATTGTATAGACTCGAAACAATCCGGAGTGCCAAACCGCCCTTTGGAATTTGCCTTGCGCGCGGAAATGACTTCTTCTCTGAGCCAGGTTATCGCACAGGCTTGGAGAGACCCAAACATGCAGTTCTCGAGGAGATCTTCTAGGATGGCGAGGCGATCGTCCTCGTCAGGGTCCGAGTGAAGGACTGCTCCGGCAACGACTGTAGCGGCATTTCGAACGTGAATGTTGGCGTGGAAGACGGAAATGAGTGTTATAAGGTGGTGATACGGCATGTAGTTGTCCTTGGCGTTTGTATCTGCCGCACCATCCTGGGCAAGCTTCTTCTGGCCGACTAGCCAGATTGCGAGCACGACCAACGCTTCCATGGTTCCAGGGTTGTTCAATATCTCCGATTGGGGGTCGTCTCCGATGTAATGCTTCAATAGTTGTTGATGGTCTGGAAACATGTACATGCCGGGTCGAGGCTGGTCGGCGTCAAAGACGTCGCCTGCAAAAACCCAATAGGCAATCACACATAACAGTCCACCTCCTGATATCTTAATCTCCTCGATATTTGCGGGATCAAATTCGATTGCCAGTGGATCTCGAACAATCGGCGCTTGAAGGATCTCCCGAAGCTCGGCAAAGGTCATCTTGGCAAAGTCCAAGTCACCAGCAACAGCCTATATACGCCAGTTAAGGACCAATGCATGCAGTCAAGGGAAACGCTGGAGGCCATAACTTACTGCCAGCTGGCCGACCAATGCATCCTTTGCCCCCAACTCGTCCACCTCGTTAAACGCCTGCATCATCGTCTTCCTTCCTGGAACCACTCTCTCAGGATACGTATATTCCAGTAACCTCGCGGCCCATTCCAACTTGTTCGAGTTGACGTAGGCCTCAATGACACAGGTAATAAAGCAGCGCAACAAATGCGTCATAATTTCAAGCTCGTCAGCATTGGGAAGATCAGACTTGTCCGCCTCTGGATCGGGCGCACTCTTCGTCTCGTCGCTGGTATGAAGCGCGGTTCCGAGCACTGTACTCGACTGTCGCGACGGCAGCGGCGGCCTTTTTTGCGCGGAGAGCGATTGCATCAGCGAGATGATAGCGGCAGTCGATTCGGCGCTCGTTGGGTCATATGATCGATATACAGTGTCTAGTGTGGTGTGCAGAAATCGAGACGGCGTCTTGACTTGAAGTCGCTTGTGCAGGATGCCGAGCATACCGCAAAGAGTGACGAAATACTGGTTCCCTACCGAGCCGTTGTCTCCTTCCCCAGTCACCGTTTCCATGACCTGCAACACCTTGAGGATGACTTCTCGAGGGTTTCCAAGGCGCGCAATGGTCTCTAGACAGCTCTCGCTTCCGGGGACATGGATGAGCATTTCGACAAGGTCCCAGCCAATGTCACTAGTAAGCTCTACATCTTCCAGGATTTCGTGGAGAGCCGGCAGGATCCCGGGCGACATGGACTTGTCTATGATGGTAAGATATGTAAATCTATCGGATGCCGGGGGACGAGCCTCCTTGAGTCGCTGGATGACCTCCTCGGTGGTTGGCTCGTTGGTAGCCATGATGGATGTGCATGCAGCTTCAATGTTTGCTGCAGCTCAAGCTGAGCTTCGTACCAGACGGCGGGGTAGTTGGTCGAGTTCCGAAGGCGCGTGACGCTGCGATTAGCTGCAGACAATGCTCAATACAAGTGAGGGAGTAGATCGTCTTGCAGGGGGTTCAAGTGTCCTGGAATCAACGGCAGGGCAGCTCAGGTCTGGGTGGCTCAAATTAGTGATGAAGGAGTTTGGTTTGCATGACTTTATGCAGCACCTTGAGACACAGTCTTGAGCTTGCACATGTGAGTACTTGCCGTCGGTACTACTCTGTACGTATGACGAACTAGTTGACGCAGTACGGAGTCGAGGAGCAGCTTACCATCTGGCATGAGAGTTGCTTCCCCGCCTGCCCCTCCAATGTTAAAGTGCGATTAGCAGCCCCGCACTGACAGTGTCTGGACTCTGCGAGCTTCACCTGAGCGACACCTCCAGATACGTATCCTCAATGCCGATCTCGCATTGGCGGGTCTTGACAATCAACGGGCGTGTGATCTTGGAAACCTGGATGATTATTTCATTATGTAGCGACTACAGGCTGATATCAACGCATGTTATAAACGCCATTTTCCTTCTTACTCCCTTCTAACTCCCCTACATAGTAAAGAATCTGTCCGGCCACACGTGTCCCCGCCTGCGTGCCGCCCAAAATGTTCAAACCATTCAAACATACATAAATAACATCATAATACAACAGCCGGATATGGATTCCGGGTACTATCACACATATTGTACAACGCTAAAGCCTCGTGCTTGTCCTTTGGCTCTTATTGGGAGTTCTGGGCCACGGCCACTTGTTGTTCTTCCCATCGTGCTCGTTTCGATACTTGGTGCGCAGCGCCTCAGAAACGGACATTGGCTCTTCCATGGGGATTAGTTGAGGCTGTGCGTGGTACGGTAGCACCTTTTTCAGGCTTCTTTTAGCCATGGGCTTCTCCTTGTCAGCACCTGCCGCAGCTTGCACCTTCTTCATATCCTTGACCATATTTTGAAGTTCGTCGTCGCTATCGATGATTTGTGCTTTAATGAAAGACAAGCTATGCCCAGGCGTGTCCTGCATTGCCTCCATCACGGGAACGCGAGGGGTATACTGGTATTGTCCGGGTTGGGGTGCGGATTTCGAGTCTGGAACGACCGCGGGGTCTAGCATGGCCTCTGATCCCTTCTCGAGTAACGTACTGATGTCTAAGCTTTCGCCGGGCGCGATTGCGGTAGGGTGACTTGGCGTAATGCAGTCCATATCTACTTCCTTGCGCAGGACATGGTCGATATCCACTGCAGAAAAATACGCACAAGATTGGGGTAGGTCATTGATGCCAACCTGTTGCGCAAACATTGCTCGTGTCCAGACATTGGCGACTTGGAGAGCCATGGCGGCGCGGTACTTGTCCTGTTCTTTGACAAGATATCGAATCTCATCATGGACGGTAACGGCTAGGCGAGCACTGATGTTGAATCTCCTAATAAGGAAGTCCATAGAGACGATAAGCAGGTGCAGATAGTCGACGCCTGAGGATTGAATAGCCCAGTTAATTCGCGACGTGAGGTAGCCACCTTTGCTGATAAAGCGGCTCATGAGAGCTTCTGTAATTCCAGCCCCGAGAACTGGGGTCCGCGGGCGTTCTTGCTCGGCAAACTCTTCAAGCTTATTGAAGACAAATGACTCTGTGCCTCCTCTCCAGAAAGGCTTATTATGAATAACCTTGCGATTCGTCTTCGTGCCCTTGGTATTGGCATACAGCCTCGAAGCCACTTCCATGGTTTGTCTCTCGGACAGGCTGGGGTTAAACTGTCGCAGTAGAGTAGCCGCAAACTTCAAGCCAGCCCCGTAAATACGTCCGTAGTTGAAGACCTTGGCATCGTTTCTCGTAATACCTAGGATGCCAGCTGTCCGTGAGTGCAGGTCTGTGCCTGCTGCTTTTGTGCCTTCAAGTGTCATGAAACCAATGGCGTTGCCGCCATGGAGTTTGAAAGTCGCATCTCCAACCAAGCTGGCAATCCAGAGCTCCTCGGAGTCGACATCAGCTCCTACAAAACAATACCCCTTAGGAGCCTTTACCATGGCCTTTAGTTCAGAGCCGACGCGGTTCTTCTTTGCGTTGCTGGCCGTCAGCCATGTATTTTCCACTGCTCGCCTAGTAATCGTTCCCATGGGGATAACTTGGGGCAGGATGAAGCCGTAAGAATCTGCCTTCGACTTGGTCCGTGGTCGTCCGGATGCCTGTCTGTTGGGGATATCTTTGTCATAAACTACCATTTGAGACATGATCCGGTCTCTTGCGCTTATCCAGTAAGAACATGAAGCATTCATTTCTAGAGCTTCTTTGGCATACTCGTATTCCGACGACAGTGTGCCAGCCTCGAAATAACGCAAGTAACCTTTCGCCATGGGATTAGCACATCGGGCTGTCGGTCCATCCTTGTGCGGAAGCTTGAAATAATAATGCTCTCTATCATCCCGGAGAGCAAGCTCCGTTTCGTCAAAGGTACACTGGATCATCTGCTTTGCGGTGTATTTCGCTGATTCGTCACGGGGAACTCGAAAAGTCCACCCATACTTGTCTGACCAAAACAATGGGTGGCCATCCCAAGCCAGCCTAAGAAGCAGAGGGGCTATTCGCGTGCGGACTGTAACGTTGATAGGCGAATCATTCTTTGGGAAAAGATCTTTATACCATTGTGGCATTCCCGGCTTCTTCTGCCGGGCGGCAGGGCGTGGTGGATCGTCCTTGCGTTTCCCTTTGACCATGCGAACTTCCTGTCCTGACCAGTCTAGTTGCTTCATCCAGGGATCGTTTTGCCACTTGGTTATGTCACTCTTGATTTCCAAGGCCTTCTCGGTCAACCCAACGAGTCGTTCCTGGACGGCATCAGATAGCTTGTGGTACGTAGCTTCGGCATTCGCAATGTACGCATCCCACGATTTGTTGACGGGTAAAATGACGGAAGCAAGATGGCGTAGGGCCGCGAAGCTGACTGGATGAGGGCAGACCTCGAGAAAGTTGGGAAATACAATCTGGTAAACGCGATGTGTGATGGCCACATCTGCAGCGCAATAATCCATTAGTTCATCTAATTTCGCCAAGACGCCCTTGCGGTCAAGCTCGCCGAAGTCGTCTCGCACAGCCTTATCAATGGACACATTGAGATGAAATTTGGCGACATCGCGCAGCGAGTTTACCGAACTGCGTTCAACCCAGAGCTCCTCTTCATCATGCATACTTTTACTGGTCAAAAGCTCTGCAAGGTCGTTATCGGGGGTCTGGCTCGCAACTCGTTCCCTGAGTTCGCGATTCTTCTTGTGCCTCATCCACGTTGGCCTCTGTTGTGAGCACATGCCGTTGACGGCAACGTGAAGTGACATTGTATCAATGAAAGAATTTCGTGACTGCTCAATGCCGTATTCTTCTAGTACCCTAGCACGGTCGTATCCCACATTATGTCCAACAACCACCCGCTCCTTGGCAGGGTCACCAAGGGGAATAAGTTGACGATCATTTTTTGATTTCCCCAGAAGCCACGGAGACAGCCATGCGTACCAGGCTGTGGGACTTGAGGCGCATGCCATGACAGCAAATGGGCTCTCTTTCCACATGACTTCCGTATCAAAGCACAGCATGTGCTCGTCGGGAACATCGACCGGTTCGCTTCTTCCATCAGGATAATACTTGGTCCATCCACTACGGCGAACCCATTTTCTAGGCTTTGGAGGAACACTAGCCCGGGCGAATTGTTTGGCAAATGAAAGGTAGGGCTCTGCGCAATCGGAGCCGAGTTTGTAGAAGTGTTCATCAAGAGTACGTCCCTCTAGTTGTGGCAGGTCAAACGCGATGGGTTTGGAATCGTCGGTGTTCTTTCCAAGCAGGTCATGGCGTTGTAAATGATCTTTGGACAGCTTCACAAGCTCTTCGGGGGGAGGCTCGCACCCGTCGGGAAATATTTGGCTGAACACATGGGAGCTCAGCAGTTGCACGCCGATTTCGTTGTATCTAGGCTGAGAGGGAACTTGCATGTTGGTTAGCAAGGTCGGAATCCAGGAAGACGGATAGCCGGCAATCACTGCACTCACTTGCTAGGCTCCCGGGACGTCTGCCATTGTCCTGTTTGGCGACATCAGACTGCCAGCGAACATAGGCACGCCATGCAAGCCGACGAGGCGCCTGATGGCGAGCAATGCGCACGACACTGGCTGTGGACGTGCGCTGGACGTGACCAGCAGCAGGACAAAGCGTATTCATAAGCACCGGTTAATCATGACGTGGAAGCGACTGTGCGCCCTGAACCGTGGTTGGAAAGAGACTGGGAACGATGGGAAGGAGTCGCGAATTGTCGTTTGTCGTGCATGAAGCTCACAGATGTGGCGCAACGAAACCAAGAGTTGAACATCAAGTTTGAGCTGTCAAGTGGGCCATAAGGAGTTTTGGTGGAGACTGTGCACCTCAAGTGCGACCAGTCGACGAGCTGTGTTTTTTTTGCAGTCTGGGGGGGGCATACATAAGTACTTAAGTACCTAGGTCCCTTTGAAGTCATCAATCAACGCCGCCAGCTGGTCGATACTTGTGTGCACAATCTGCAATATTACTTCAATGTTTGGAAGGACTCCACGAGCACTACAGCACTACACTACAGCATGAGTGTATGTTTGACCATAGCGGCGACCGGTTGCGGCTCTGTGCTGTATTTTCTTCTTCTGCTGCCGCCATCATTTCACCACTCCGGAACGCCCCACTTTATATGGCCGGAAAGCGGAAGGTGAACGGCGCGTACGGAGCAGTCCGAGGTCCACCGGAGGTCGCTGCTCCGTCCTGCCCAATAAACTAATTCGCATGGCAAGTTGCGGCCTCAACACGCAACACGCTCTGATTCGCTGCAGCACCGAGCTCTGTCCAGAGGCAACTACAGGCTGCCCAGTGAACTGATATGGGCTACTCTTTTCATCAGACGCAGAGATGATAAAAACATTGGACATACGGGGCTTCGTCGTAGGCATGTGGGAAATGGCGACAACTGTGGTGAGTCTAAACTCTTTCGAACCGCACGAGACCTTGTCATCACGGCTGAAAACATGGCATGCATGTTCATTGAAGGCCCCCAACTGGGCATTCTTCTACTCTGCAGATTCATCTCCAAGCTCTTGGAACCATCACCGTATGTCCTGCATCCCGTCAACGGCTTCGTGGTGGTAATGAATCCCGACTCTGCATTCTCCTGACTGCCATGAACGGGCGATCGACGGGCGTCAAAAACGGTGATTTACTAGCACCTGGGGGAGGAATCCCCGTGGTTTGGGAATAAATAATGTTGATGCAGTCACAACATTTACCAAAACCTTGCCTAGTGCCTCACACTTTCAGGTTCACAGCTAAACGTCTAAGAGCGAGTCGTCCAGCAATAGAGCCATGGAGAATTAATTAAAACTTGGAGCAAGGCATGGCCCTTTTTTAGGGACTATGGAAATTTAAAGCTGTAGACTCTGCTTGAATGAGCTGGTGTGGGATATTAACGGCGGTACCGGGTAGGAGTCGCGAAGAAACAATATAGATACGCAAATACTACGCAACTTCAAAGTTAAAACACACCAGATTTAATAGCGAGTTGATTTGATAGACATCTGGGAAAGCAAACGCAGTAATCAATATAATCTTCTGCATTTCCACGGTCGCCCCTTAGTGGAGGACTCTTGAGTAACCACGGAGTTGTGGAGTGTTTGAGCTCTCAAACCCTAAGAAAAAGTCAGTTACATTGGACTGTATATCTTTATTGTTCGATAAAGAGTCTAAGAGAAACTCCCAGAAAAAGGAAATAAAGTAGTCATCTTTGTAGGACGCTTGCAGGCGATGAGAACAACCTCTTCAAAGCGGCTGACCAGGAAGCACGGGGAACGATCGGGTCTGGCTCTAAAGTCATAATTAGGCAGTCATTAATGACATGTCAATGTGAAAAACCGGAAAAATATCTGGCTGCTTCCAGCCCAGGCACTTCATTGCTGGTCGCTAGTGACAGCTACGTGAGACTGTCTGCATCCCCGTCACAATGAACCTGATGTCAGTCGGGCTTGAACGTTGGGCCATGGAGGAAAAAGATGCAGTAATAGCGGTAAATGGCGAATATTCCCCACACCCAGCTTACAAGTGTGCCCTCTTAGCTCTCTTCCTCTGCAGTTCATCGTCCTGTGTTTTGACAGCTTGAAAGTTCAGAGGCCAAGCTGCGACTCGCATGGAGGAATGGCGGATTTCAAGGTCGTTATCAATGAATCTGCATGCTAGATGCCGAAATTAAAGATTTGAATTTATTGTAATTTCCCGTTAATGTTTCTCGAGCTTGAATGTGTTCATTCGTCGCCGTGGATTTCTTTGCGTGAGCATGTCGGACCGGAGTTGCTGTCTGTGCTTCTTTCTACCCATGTGCCACATGTGAATGAGCTGCAAGCGCTCAATGCTGACTGGTCTTTCTGTGAAAGGAAGGCAAAAAATCTTTAAGCTATGCCTATTTCATTCATACAAAGCCTGTCTGTTCCCCTTGTGCATCATAAACCGCCATACAGGTGTTGAACTTGCCTTGAACAGTCTTCGAATTCCACAATAAACAGCCGTCGACAGACTCACAGTCCTGAGCAGTGAGGGTCTTTACATTCTTTGAAGGCATAGTCTTGTGGGTGTCCAACCCAAGGCACCAGAACCACTGCTCGAGCGTTGCCTACATATGCACGAGTATAAAATGTCTGGTTTCTCCCGCCCGGCTATTCTGTAGGCCCAAATTCCACCATTCTTAAACACTATTGCAATTTCGTCTTCCTTGTCAATTCATATTCCCTAGCAACAATGTCCCAGGAATCGTGCTGGGCGATATATCAGGCCCTGATCTGCTTGGCTGGGAATCCATGTGATGGGCAGTTCACACGACAGCAACGCCTCACGGAGACTGCGGCGACGACAGCGACAGGACAGATACAAGCCGCCCTGCCCCACTATTATGATTCGCCAAACGGAAGAGAATATCTTACTGAACTCCCTTCCCAAGACAATTATGTGCATTCTCGACGGCAACTACGACCTACAGAACCAACTAGGGAGGAGTGGGATGAAATCTTCAAGGAATATTTTTGGCTGAAGGCAGCTATCTTGCTGCGTCAGGCCCAGAACCATATGCGCCGCCCAGAATTTGGGTATTACATGAAAACATCCATCCCCGTCGACAGGATGATGATACTTCAGACATTCCAATACTACATCTTGGTTTGCCTAGGCCGAGGCGAAATCGCAGACCCATGGCTACAAATCAAAGCCGATTATGTGGACACAAAAGTCCCGGATTTGAACATGATTCGCATGGAATGGGAAAATGCAAGGGGGAACTATTCGTCTATCATCCTGCTTGATTCATTTTGGCTTGCCCAATCTCTTGATGTGCAGAGAACAGTCACAAAGGGTCGTTATATGAGGTGGGTGATCGGGGTACTCTACCAAAGGTCGCTATTGGTGTCATGTGCCTAGGGTTTGAGACATGAAACGATTGAGGGACTGGGTATGGAATCTGGATTGGTATAAAAGATGCAGAATGTCATTGGCTTAGAGTACTCGGTAACGCTGGATTGCACAGTTGATGTTTGGCAATTGGAGATTGACTAGGATGGACGTGGAAAGATGCTGAGGATTGAAATTTATTTGCGGTTTTGAATCCGAGTTGGACGCGCTGCTTTATTCAGACAGCTTTAGACGCCGAAATATATCCAGTGCTTCGGCCTACTTAGTACTGGGAATCCACAGCCAAGTAAGTGTATGTGAATGCGGACAAGCCGGCACAGGCCACCTGAAGTATTCCACATGATAATAATATGCGGGCGCTAGAGGACGGTTGGTTCAACGCTGGCCGTTTAAGATGGAGGAGGTCAAGTTGTCTGGTCGGGACTTGAGTTCACCACAGACCGCAGACCGCAGACCGCAGACCGCAGACCCCTGTCACCGTACACCGCACACGGTACACCAGAAGCCCAGGTCCCCCAACCTACCATGTCCTCGAGTGTACAAGTGCCAACACCTAAGTCCTCCGGGTCCCCAAGTACTCCATCAACCAAATCCTCCGCGCTTGAAGTAGTCGCCACTTTCTCTGAGCACCCGTCACCACCACGCCATGCCAACTTCGCCCTTCTGTCTGTCCGACACGAAAACCTTGGTTCGTGAGGATTGCCACGCCTTGCACCATGACCTCACCTCCGGGCCTCTTGGAAACGATCATCACAGAAACGGACAGCGACCCATGCCAGGACACTCATCGCACAGATAATCTCCCGCCACGAAACAACCGACAGCCCATCCTCCCCCCACTGCCGCAACGGTCTTCCGCATTAGCACGCTCTTCGTCGCCTCGCCACCACGCCTCGACAGCATCTTCGCATTCATCCGCAAGAAGTCCGCTGCGGGCGGGAAACGTGCCGGCATTATCAAACTCTCCGTCGACTCCCCGTCGCCAACGACAGCAATCGCCGTCGTCCTACCGACCACCTTCCTTTCGCCGCATCACCACCAACGTTGTCGCACCCACTTACTGGGGCGAAGACACCACAACTAGTAGCGACAACGACGAGCACAGCAACGACAGCGACGACCTTTTTCTGGGCATATTCGCCGACAACGACTTTTCGTCCCCGTCCACCTACCCTCCATTCACGTCCAACCCAGCCGCCAGCGAGGCACCACAGCCAGACCAGGCTGCATTTCAGCCTCAGCCCGCGGCTCCCACCACCAATCCTTGTTCGGAGGCGGCTCCCCTCCGCCAAGTGTCAGCCTGCACTCGGACACTTGCGGCACCTTCACGCTCTACAACGCAGCTCAGTTCTTCCGGCCTTGGAGAATCACAGAACACTTCGTTCACCACGGACAACGGCGAGGATTCAGCAACATCACAAAGCTCCTATCCCTCCTTCTCGGACAAGATGCCGCCGCCACCGCCTCGATTTCAGCATATCCTCAACGATACCGACCCGCCGCCAATCGATAAACGCATGAGGACGTCGCAGCAAAGTTCCGGTGCCGTAAACAGCGCGTCCGTGGGCTCGTTAGCCATGCCGTCAGCACCCTTGGACGACGACGACGACGACGACTTGTTTGGAGAGAATCTCACCACCCAAGGCTCAGAAATAGTCGACGGCGAAGAGCTCACGACGATAGACCTGACCGAGGCCAACAAGGTTCCGGAAGAATTGAAGAAGCCGCAACAAGATAATCGCATCAAGATATCCAAGTTTCAGTGTGTCATCTGCATGGACGATGTCACAACCCTCACTGTCACCCACTGCGGCAAGTCTTCACCTTGAAGCAAAGACATGACCCCGTACTAATAACGTGCCACAGGCCACCTTTACTGCGCGCAGTGTCTGCACTCGTCACTCCATGTCGAAGCCACAAAGGGGAAATGCCCCATGTGCAGAGCCAAGATAGACACCAAGCCACGGAGCGCTTATAATACGAAAACCAAAGGCTTTTGGCATCTTGAGCTCAAGCTCATGACTGCGTCAAAAGGTAAAAGAAAAGCGGACGAAATATCATGACCTGGCTGCCCGCCGCTCATCGGCCTCGGAAGAAATGGACTTTCAGCGGCTTTTGTATATATATAGTCGAATGTGCATACGCATGGTTGGTCTCGATTTAGTCTTGACTTCAGTATACACATGGGCATTGCGCGGTCCGCACGCATTTTAAAGAATTATGAAATACTCACGTTGGCGTCATAAAAGTTCCGCTATACATGGCCTGGGACGAAGGACAACAGAGAGTAAATTAGAATCCACGTGGTAGTACATACATCGTCCTGAATGGACTTTATTCTATTTTAAACCTATCACTACATGCTCACCTGAAATATCCAAAAGGTATATATGTATATATATGATTCTTTTTTCCCTTTCCGGGCGGTGTACTATCTCACATTGCCAATTGATCCCGTCGCGATACTTGGTTCATGAAAAATTCCTTCCCAACGCCAATTCTATCGCCCAACCTGAGCGCGAAAACTTTGCTGTATACTTGACCCCCTTCATTAATATCTGCGTGCGCCATCTGCAAGATTAATGGAACAGTGCTTGATTCGGCTTCATCGACTCAACTACGGATTCGTTCTCATACTGCATTTCGTTAACACCGAACCATGGACCACTTATCAATTGTCAACATACCTCCAAGAAGCCAGTCGCGGCAATCACAACCATGAGCCCATCGGCAAGGTCGCTAATCTTCTCATCCAGTGCCTCGTTGCCCGCACCCCCGCCGATGCCAGCACTTCTCTTGAGTGTATGCGTCACCAGCATCCTGTGGTCGGTGAGGAATTTGCGCCCCTGGACAATGTTATGGCTTCCCCTGCTGAGGAGGGCGGCGCCAATGATACGAACGACTTTTGCCAAGAGGTCATAGTGCTGCTCCAGGGCACGCGAGTTTTGCACATCACTCTGCAGCTCAGGGTCGGCCGTGAAGAGACCGCTAGTGTCAATCGCGCGGAAGAGGTTGGCATAGAGGATGTATTTGGCGCCGTGGCGGGATTGGGCCATTTGGAGGAGCAGCGCAAGACGGGCGTTTTGGTAGTTTTGCTGATCCGTGTGGCCTGGTGGTGTTGATTAGTTGAGGACAAAAAAAAACGTAATGTTGATGACGGCACAAAACCTTACCAGCTGTGTAGGCGTCTTGCCATTCTTGCATGATGTTGCGAAGGGAATCGACCAGGATACCAATAAAGTTGAGCTTGTTGAGGGTCTCGATTACATGACTGTCGTTTTCATGTCGGCCAACATTGACGAGAGAGTTTAGAAGAACAAGGGCTGACGCCTGATATGTCGGCTCGCCGCAATAAGCATCGTCGCAAATCACGTTGATCAGCCTCTCGCCGTACACCTGAATAGTCTTTGTTGTTTTGGGGCGGGTTGGGCTCAGCGCACCCTGCTCAGACATGCCGGTGAGATATCGGTAGCAGATCTCATAATAGACTGACCGGAGTTCGGCTGTGCCGGCCCACTTCCCAATTGCCTGCAGACAAATCTGAAATAGTTGGTAAAGTTTGTCGCTCACCAGGTTGCCAATGGACCCGCTGTGCTTATCTGACATGTCTTGGCTGCCCAAGTCGAGTTTGAACAGCAATACTCGGGCTAGTTTCGCCAGCTCTAGAGCCTCCTTTGGTCGGTCTGAAGCAAATGCTTCGAGGCTAGGGAGCACAGCTTGGAGTGCCTGAAGGAAAAATGATGTCTGAGCTGTGCCTTTGAAATCATTGCACTCAATCATGACGAGTAACAACCGCGTCCATGACCTCAGCACTCTCAGACATTGGGTCGCGATCTGCTTCTGTCGGTTATTCGAAACGAGGTATTCAATAATCATCCCTTCTTCCCTTTCAATGATAGCAAGGTCTTGAACAGATATCACGCTACCCTGGCTCTGGGATTCTCCACGTTTGAAGAGAAGAATCTCCTTGACGCGATCTATGTTGTGAATGGCATTTCCGTCAGCATCATTTTCCACGCAGATGGTGATATCCACGTCTTTGTAAAACTGGATCGGAGGAGGCGGGAAATCCCAGATCCCTTCCGGGAGTAGGAAATCGAACAAGTCAAACACAGTTGGTGTTTGTATGACTTGGTTGCCGTCTCCTGTGACTTGTCCATTCAGAGCCTCGAAAATCCGTCGCTTTGTGCTAGGAATTCGACCTTGAGAAATCATACACAACTCCATGGCCATATATTCCAGCGTCAAGCTTCTTATTGTCAGGAAATCGACGAGGGTAGAGGCTCCATCGGTAACGGGGAAATGTAATGTTGCTACATTCTGGCCTTCCCAAGGCAGTTCAGGCTGAATGACTGTTTCGCGGATGAGAAGGTGGAACAGGAACTCATTTTCTCTCAGGTCATTAATCACCCAAGGCGCCGAAAGAGGTGAGCCCCAAAGAATGTGGAGAATACGCATCACCCTTGACTTGATCGCAATTAGCCATTGTCTCATGCCCTCTGCATCTCCAGACGGGATTTCCATTAACAGTCGAAGAAGTGTGTGGAACAAAGATGTTTGATTTGAAAATGCACTATTGTTTTCAATCGTGACCGAGTCCACGCCACACTTGAAGCCAAGAAGCAAATGCGCAATAGTTGGTTCCTTTGGAGTCGTTGAGAGACACTGAAGGAGGAAATCTAGGATATAGATTTTCGTAATGTAGTTTGGGGAATCCGCCTCACGTCCAGCTTCTAGTGGCGCCATGAGCTCCGACGAAAAGCATCTTGAAATCGATTCATGTTCGCCATTTGCTTCCATGGCCACAATGGCTTTGTTACGGTGCGATTGGCGACCAGACCCTGACCAAGTTGCTGTAATCTTTGATGATGAGGACATTCTCTCCAGAAGTTTGAGGCAGGCCAAGGTAAGAGCTGGGTGTCCGATGCCGCAGTAATTTCCAAGGTCCACAACAAGATTCAGTCTAGTGACAAGCCCATCTTGGAAAGAGGCATATGGTGCATTGGTAACAGGTTGGCGTCTAGCTCCGGGTTGTGTTTTGATGAGCGGTCTCACTAAATCAAGATACGTCGCCTCCAGGTCAAGAACCTTGGAAATTACTTCAACGGCTCTTAATATACCGAGAATTAAGGGCGAGTCAGGAGCGGCATTGCCCACATCCGCAGGTTCTTGGTGAATTGTGTTGAACAGTGCCGTCATGACCTTGTCATTGAACATCCATTCCATGACCCTCGCAAACGGATGCTTCCGAACGTAGGTTGCAAGATCGGTGGTCGAGATGACGGAGTCAATCATGATTGTGGTTTCGTTTGCAATCACAATCAAATCTTCATTGAATGTCGACAAACAAGTCAGCATAAAATCAAGACAACTTAGCCTCAGCACGCGCAACTGGTGTTTGTCCTGCAGCTCCTGTGCTTTGTTTGCGAAAACCAATCCCATCACGAAGTCAACATATACCTCGACGCCAGGATTTCGTGAATTTGAACCCAGGGTTTCGGGAAATGGTAGACTGTCATTCAAGGGACTACTGTCTATTGCCGGTGAAACAAGTGACAACAGCAGCTGAACGAACGATTCTGGATCTTCGAATCCACTGCTCATTTCATCCAGGATCCTATCCATCGAAATGAGAGGCGCGGGTTGGGCTTGTCTCAGGGGTCCTGCAACAGGTCCTGCATAACCACCAGTGATCCAATTTTCCAGACACGTCCACATTGTGTGGCTTTCTTGTATGGTTTTCCTAGACATGAGAGCTTTGAGTGCCATGAAAACGCATCCGCGAAGTCTCGGGGGAACTGGACTGCTAGCTAATTCGTACAGCACGTCGACCAAATTGTAGTTTGCATTTTGAAGTAAAAATAGCCGCGAAGTTTCACTCTCAGTAGCAAGCTTGGCCATTAGACGTAGATAACACTCAAGCATCATGGCCGATTCCGGCTCTGTCTCGACATGTTCATTCGCCGGCTTACCACTGCGGTACCGTGATGTCTGTGTTGTTGTAGGCTTTTGTCTGATCTTTTCAGAAAAGAAGTCCAGCTCTCTAAAGATCTGTGTCCAAGTCAATGACTGAGATCTTCTCATTTTGCCTGAAGATTGGTGGCCGTCATCGAGAAGAAATTCGTGCGCAGCCGTGGCGCAATCATCGTTTCCAGCTATCGCTTGAAGCATTTCACAAAAAGCTGTGACCAGGGGCGTCGAAGCTCTCCTGGATGCCCAATGCATGAAGCCTGCGAGATTACTGTCTGGGTCTGACCAGAAGTTCGCAGCCGCCTCTGCACGTCCTTCATAAGAGTAAGCGATGATAAGGAGGAATCGTTCCAAGTCTAGGTCTTGCTCATGTGCCTGGCTAAGTTGTCTTTGCTCGTCCTCCTCTACCCTGAGTTTTCTCAAGACGTCTGGAAGGTTTGATATGAATGCATCTACAAACACTTCAATTTGTGACATGAGACACAATTGAAAGAATCCTGCAAATTGCACGGAATCGGCCGTTAGTGCAGACGACTTTCTTGTGAGCCAATTTCGCATGCCCACACGAACTGAGTCGTGCCAGTCAGCTGGTTTAACATCTCCAGCAACTGAGAGCAAAAAGTCAAAGGCACCATCTTTCAGGGCGTCGAGGAACTGTTTCGATCGCTGGCGATCTTCTTCGTCTAGGTCGGTTCCTGGGGGAATAGCTGCCTCAGGCGGATCATCAAGGTAAAAGCCACTGTATTCGGCGAGCCACCAGGCCCTGAATGCGGCATGAAAATGTGGTAACGGCCAAGTTGAATCGTCTGCGGCGGGAAAGAGCTTGCTATGCACCTCTCGTACTTTAATCAAATCATAACCCCCTTCAGTGGATCCGAAAACTGAGATATAGGCTCCCATTGCAGGAACCAAATGTGCTATTGCTCGTTAGTAATTGCGTCAGAGAATTCCATTCATGCTCGTGCAGGGCTTGTACGAACCAAGAAGATTATCGTACTTGTCCAACTTCTTTAGCGTAGAGACAAAGTCCATAAAATCCGACAGATCTGCTTGTCTCTTCTCAACGAGACGGCAGAGGACAACACCCAAAAGCTCGTGCTGCTGTATCAAGCTCACCCGAGAAAACTCAATGGTTTCCACCTCTTCAGATAGCTGGTCGGGCTTGACTTGACTCAGAGCTTGCGCGGCAGCAATCTTGTCTGCCAGCCGTTGTAGCCAGCTTTTAATCTTCCCCATGGCTGCCATGCAACGTGGCACGTATCGCTTGGCCCCCCCGGTTCGCGATTGAAACAACCTGGCCGCGACAAACATCTTGATGGTTTCCAGAGCCCCGGATTCTTCTGCATCGTCTTCAACGCTATCCAATTCCAGCAGTAGCCTCAACGCGTCCAAGGTATATTTGCGCTGTTGGTGAAAGCGAATGATACCACATTCCAGAAGAGATCGACCCAGAACAGATGGGTCATCTTGCGATTCGAGGAGGCATTTTGCAGCTTCGATTTCGTCGAGGTCGAGTTCGTCGGACAATAAAAGCGCGTCTTGTTGAAATTTCTCGTTGATGGTAAACTCTTGTTCTTCAATTGAAAGTTTCCCTGCAAAATGTTCAGTCCTGTGTTCAATACTTGCCATAGGGCATGCTTTGGAAGCTTACCTGACTTAACCACGTTCCGGCTCTTGTCGTTTTTGGCAGGGCATTCCCACAGTTTCTCCAACTCCTTTTCGAATGTCTGCACCAGTAGTTCGTTATTCAGGCTTTCGGTTGCATCTCCAAAGCCGCTTCGCAAGGCCACCAGTTCTCGGTGAAAGGCCTGCAATGCATCCAAAATCATAACTTCGGCCATTTTTGGTGGCAGGCGCTATCGCATGTTGAAATATCAGGAATTGCGCGGGAACCAACTTTGTCACCGGACGGCGGTAGAGACGACTTTGGGGATCAGGTGGTAATTGTTGCGTATCCGGTCCAGCAACGAGGTTCACAACAGGTCTTTTTCGATATTCTGCAGCCTCGCTGCTCCCATCCCTGCTGGCGGCGAGCAAAACCATCAACGATTAGGTAACGGCGCAGCTTCAAAAAAGGTGCGGGTCGAAGTAAACATCGACAAAGGCGGTGTGGATTCTGCCGGGTCTATTTCCCAGAGCTCTCCGAGCTGAGAGCTTCCCGCAACTCAATGCGACAACAGGCACCAGGAATATTGGCGCAAAGATTTCGCAGAAAACGGGCCTCTAATTTCAGTAACTTGGACCCAAGGATAACGAAAGACACCAATTCTTCAGAGCAATGGATAATTGATTGTACCATGTCGACGATTGGCAAAGATCGCATCTCGGTTGCATAAGCCCCCATCGCCTTCGTCAACCAGATCCACAGGCAGCGACGGCAATGTTGACAGGCATCTCATTTTAAACAGCCACAACATCGTCGCTTACGATGTCTTCGTCACATATGTCTACGGTTATGAGCCTGACCAGTAATGCCCCAAGCTTCCTTCCTGCTCGCGCGGTCCATAGCTAACCATCTGTCCAGGCGACGTCAAGTCGGGGTCTATCAAGGCTTGTGACAAGGCTGTAGATGGTGAGTTGGATTGGCTCTTCTGTCCAACTGCGCCCCTTTTCTAACCATAGCAGAGTTGATTTCTTTATTGAATCCCAGGAATCGGACTGTTAATCTGTATGTTAACTCCCAACGTAATGGATTTGTACCACCCATCTCACCAATTGAAAGTGCCGATCTAGGTGACAAGAGCTATCATCAAATATTCGAGGCCCTATTTAATGTTGTGATCCGCGACAGGCCCGCCTTGTATGACAAAAGGAAGAAAGAGTCTGCTCGCAAGGTAGCCGCTGCCCGCCTGACCAAGTGTGCTTCGGCCATCCGCATGACCGCTGCTAGAGGTGCCCCCAAACTAGGACGCAAAACCCTGTTAGCTCTTATAGACCACATCACACAAGTTCTGCCGGATCCAGATGGTGATTTTGTTGCACCCCTGATACAAGATTATGTCAAGGCCTTGTCCGAGGTGCTCTCACGCCAGCCGCATGTTGAGTTCCTGGCCAGGCAAGATGCGAAGCCCTGGGAAGCTTGTGTTGACTTTCTACTTGATATAGTCGCCTATATTATTCCTAGTGAAGCTCACAGTAGTTTGATATCTGTGGCACGCCCCTCTCCTGCTCCAGATGCCTCGACACCACGCTCCACCATGCGATCTAATAATTCGAATCAAGGCCAAAAGCGAGCAGGCCTTGCTGAGGGCGAGCCGCTCAGAGATGCTCTTGAAGGCCTCCAGTACTTGAGTCAAGCATCAAATGCACCCATAGGACGGCGAGGAAGAAACGTTACGGAACTGGCCATTCGCGTCCTTAACATGAGGCACCTTAGTCTTGGATCTATGCAAGCAATGTGTTTCTCAATTTGCAATACAATATTTGCACGGACTCAAGCTGAAGATCTTGAATACGGACTTTCTTTAGTGAAGAAACTTCTACCATTGATGAGCTATTGGTGGAGGGCCGAGAAGGTGTCCCAAGACGAGCTCATAAAGGGTTTGCGAAGTGAGATTTCCAAGACAATTTACCTGGCTCATCCACATATTGAGCATGTATCCAGCAAATGGAACGAGGAGATTCGAAATGACATTGAGAACCTTGTGGATCCCCTATGGCAAGAATACTCTAAAAGAGGTGAACCGTTTCGGCTCCAGCTGCACGATCTTACTTTCAACCAGTCGGCCCTGCCAAGTAGCACAATGCACTTGAGCTTGTTTGGAATACGAAACCATAATTCCGAAGGAGAAGGCCACTGGGCACTTGTGCAGAATCTTTCATTCCTAGAGAGTATTCTCTTGACGCGCGGCGGCATTTCGGCGAGGGATACTGCGGGGAACAGCGAGCAACCACGAAAGCGACAACGGACTCGGGAATGCCTGAGCCGCCTGAGACTGAAGCTCAGATCAAGAGACGTGGGGACTCAAAGAACTGCACTTCAGTTATTGCCTTTTCTGGTCGAAGGTTTCGGCATTGCAGGCGAAGATCTCACCTCGATCCTAGACGATCTAGTCACATATGTCTCCAACAAAGATCCAATTACAGCATCATGGGCCTTGGTCGCATCAGCCAGGTAAGGCAATTCGAATGAAATTTGTCAACACAAGCTAACAAACCCAGCTGTGCATCGTTGCCTCGGATGAGTGAATTGGATGGAGACCAATGGAAACAGCTCTGGCATTTGGCTGTGAGATCGGTTAGCATCCCCACAACATGCCGGGCGGCCTGTTTGCTTCTGCACCGAATCATTGAAAAGGATTTACTTCCATACAATACTATTTCAGAGGATATAGACGGTATCGTCACAACGGCTGATGTAAATGGGCCTGGCCTGGTTTGTGATACCTCACTTGCCCTAATGCTTCACCTCTTACATGCTCGGAATGCACGACTGCCCAGTGCGAGTCAGGCAACATCTAATCATATAATAAGATGGGTGTTTCTAAAATGGAATCCAAGTGAGTTATCTTCCATGAAATCATATCAATCGCCGTTGTTACATTCATTCTAATAATATATTCAGACGAGTCAGCCTTTGCGTCCTCCGTCTCGGTTCTCATCCAGCCTCTGGACCTCGTTAACCTGCTTCGAGTATGTTGCGGCGTCCAACCATTGCGCTGGAATGAAATAGCCGCTAGTTTAGGGACGTCTCTGGGGGCTACGTGGAGAACGCAACACGAAATGGCGGGATTTAATGATTATTTACTGTTATTGAAGCGTGGAGAACCAAGCTACGACATCCAGCCATGCATCTACCGTTCGGACTCCGGCCGACAGCTTCAACCTGCAGCAGATTCGCACAGTTTCTACCCGTCTAAGAAGCTTGCATTTGAGCTCTTCTCTCCGAAATTCGATGATCTGGTCGAACTGTGCAGTACATGGTTGAAGAAGCCCAGCGATGGGGGGACTCAGATTTCTTTAGATCGATTCCAGAGCTTATTATCTGCCTGCATCGTTGGGTCGCTTCTGCTCCCCCAGTTTGCTGACTTGAACACGCCCCAATCAACCTCAATGGAATCCAACCTTGTCGATCTAGCGGAGCGAAGCCTGGTAGTCGCATTAGACTCTGTCGAACCGGAGGCCTTTGTGGATGCTACCTTGCGAGTGTTACGGCCCTGTATGCCCGGTATGACAACTGCTGATTTGAACAGATCGCATTCACACCACTCCTCCTTTCTCCATATTTTAACAACTATTTCAAGAGTACTTGATCAGAGGCAGTCCAGCACAGCTGTCGGTACAAGCTTGGGTCTGATGGACCTCGACGACGAATTTGACTCGCAGAGCAGCAGGGCCACGTCTGCTTCGAACCCTATGCCTGTACCGAGGCAAAATGTTCAGTTGTCTACAAGCCCACGAGTATTCCACGTGGAGACAAGAATGCGACTAGGGCTGCTTCGTGCCATCCATGATGACTCTAGTCAGATTGGTCTGCTTCCCGAAGCGTGGATTGACGATTTGCTGCTGATGTCTGACGATGACCTATTGTGTTGTCAGGCTCTACTGTTGGAAATTTCCAACTCTGATTTAGTTGTGGGCTCAGAAAGTGCATACAATATTATTCAAAGACTAGGATCAATTATCTCTACGTCTGACTACCAATGCTGCGAGGTGGCACTTACGACGTGCATAGATGTCCTTGATGGACTGCATAATATCTGGTTGAATGATAATCAAGATCTTGCGGAAGGCGTCGGTGATTTATACAACTATTTTATCAAGGTGTGCCTACCTTCTAATTTCTTTTCTGCCAAGGCTCAAATGTCAATGGCGCGTTTGCTTTTCTCATTGCTCAGCGCAAATCCGGCGTATGGCACCAACTTAGGTCTGGCTTCATGTCGTACATCATTACTCAACATTCTTAGCACTGGTTCGATGCAAGTGAAGTGCTTCGTGGCTGACAGGATTGCTGGAATATTTGATTTGTTTATATTGATGCTTCATGATGAAATATTCGTCGATGTTCTCGCAAGCTTGCCAACCAATCCTGCAGACACGTCCGGTATTGCCTTCAGGCTTCTTGCTTTATCCAAGTTGGCCTGCAGATGGCCGACTTTACTGCGGCGATGCATATATCACATATTCGAGACTCCAGGGAAGATTTCGCAGTCTATTGATTATGCAAAGTGGTGTCTTGCCGATATATCAAGTACGCTCGAGTTGAAATCACCGAAAGACCTTTTCCGACTATTCTCGCGTCAGTTGCTCTACACCTGGATGGAACATGATTCCATTAACGACATTCCCTTTGCTATATTCGGGTTTAAAGATTTGGAAGATCTCTTGCGATCTGCCCAGGCAGAGGCTATTGCGTTGGCGGTGATGCGAACTCAGGAGTCAACAAGTGCTGCCTTGGCTAATTTACTCGGAATGACTGAAGGAGATTTGATCAAGCGAAACTTTTCCACCGCCTTGTCGTATAGCATGGCCTATGGAGATGCCTTCAGCGAGACCCGTAATGAGAAGGGCGAAGACTACATTCGAAAAAAGATGGGAGGTAAAGGCTACATGGAAGCAATATACATCAATCTTGTTGATACTATTGCAACATTTTTCGATCTAATTGACCAAGAGGATAATCTGGAAAAGATTTTTCGAAAACACGAAGATATCTGCTATGCGGCAGACAATCTGGAAGCGATCAAGAAGCTGGCTTGCTCGTCCAGTAAGCTTCCACCGAATCAGCAGCCCATGTTTCGAGCCAAATATATTATTCACGATATTTTCAGGCTTTGCCAAGGCACGGAGTTTCAATTTCAAGACCTGTGGACGCCTTCGTTGGTTCTGTCAGTGACAAGAAGCTTATTCAACACTGTCCACCCAGCCTTGGGCCCCCTCCACGCTTGCTCTGTTCTTCGAAAAGTCAGGCTGGTCATTTGTCTGGCAGGCCCAGTGGCGCTGGAATCATATTGCCTCGAAATGTTACTCAACTCAGTTCGCGGTTTCATAGTCGATGCAGAATGCGCCGACGACGCCCTGGGTTTGACCCAATATCTTTTGACTGGGGGGCGAGAATATCTGACCCAGAAACCGTCCTTCCTCGCGGGATATGCTTTATCTACTCTTGCTTCTCTACGAGTTTTTCTCGAGTCAAGCCAGTCCAGCACAACCCAAGAGAGCCAGTTCAAAGCCACAATGAATAAGACGCAAAAGTTCCACGATTGGTTCAGTAAATACTTGTCTGACTACGTTTCACCTTCCTTTCAAGATGACGAACAATGTAATTTATTCAAATCGATAACTTACTCCGCAGCCCGCATCAGATCGTCCGGCAACGCCGAGAAAGGTACATCAGAGAGTAAACTACTTCTTGATATTCTGAGAGATGGTGCCACTGGAAGTCGCTTGCTAAATGAATCATCGCGCGAGCTTGCGTTAAAGCTGCTTTGCGGAGACTTCACGATACCAGCCACAATTCGAGAAGATATTGTCGAAACTGATGCTGCTGCAATTGAGCAGGCGTCAAGTGTGTGGAAAAGCTGTGAAGCGCAAGATCTTAGCAAAAATTACCTGTCTTGGGCAGGACGTGTCGTTGGCCGCTCGTTTGCTGCATCCGGAGATATCCCAGAAGATGTGCTTAAAGAATCCGGCGTAAGCTTTTACGGTCACGTTGCTCCAAGCCCCAACGGATCAGAGATGGGGCTACTATATCTCCTGCAAGATCTTACAGCAGACCAAAATTCAATGATGGCTGGGTTAGCAGAGGCAGCACTACGGAAGGCAGTCTCGCAAGCGATAGAAGATGAGGATGAACCTTTGGTTGTCGCATGCCAAAGAAGCTTATCTGAGAGCCTTTTCACAGCCTCACAATGGGGTAGCTTCTGTTCTCCAGATATGAAGGCTACACAGGACTCGAAATTAGACGGCGGGCAATCCATCTGGGAAGACAGTATTTCATCTCCAAGCTGGTTGCGAAGGATCAGCACTCATTTGGTTTCGATTGTTTCGGATTCAATATTGCTATCGGTTTTGACACCAGTCTTAACCGAAGTACCTGGGTTTACCGAAAAAGCGTTCCCTTTTATTGTGCATCTAGTTTTGTGCTTCCAAATTGAACAACAGCAGGCGGCCAAACGGCAATTGTCATCGGCAATGAAGGAGTGGCTACGAGACGATAGGCCAACGGCAACACAGAACCTGAAGTTGCTGATTAACACCATCCTTTATCTCCGCACTCAGGAGTATCCCAAGGAGTCGTCTATTGCAGATCGAATGCACTGGCTCGATATTGATTATGCAGCGGCAACCGCTTCTGCGTCTCGATGTGGCATGCACAAGACGGCTCTGCTCTTTGCGGAATTGGCCTCCTCCGAGGTTTCACGACCATCTCGGAGATCTTCGGCGCACCGAGAACACGACATTAACGACGTGCTGCTGAACATATTTGAAAATATCGATGATCCCGATACGTACTACGGTCTACCGGAAGATGCAAGCTTGTCAAAGGTTGTTGCTCGAGTGGAATATGAAAATGAAGGGTCAAAGAGCCTTGCCTTTCGAGGTGCGCAATACGATAGCCATATTCGCCTGCGGCGTCGAGAGGCAGAAACAGATGGTCAAGCTCTCGTTAAAGCACTGGGAACGTTGGGGCTCTCTGGCTTAGCTCACTCGATACTTCAAACACAGGAAAGCCTTGGGGTGAGCAATCCATCTGTTGACAATACTTTCACCACAGCAAGGCGATTGCAGATGTGGAACTTACCTACGCCGGGAAATAGTGAACACCACGCTGTAATTCTATATCAAGCGTACCAAAGCATTCACAATTCCACGGTCTTGTCAGATGTTCAAACCGCTATTTATGAAGGCTTCGGTGGTATTATGAAAAACATCGCGAATTGCAACCTCAATGCAACGGCTCTTAGGGGCCGTCTGGCCGCATTAGCAGCTCTCACGGAACTAGATGACGTGCTAAATATCGCAGACCCGTCCGAGGTTCCCAGCATGATAACAAAGTTCAAGAACCGCTCCGAATGGATGCGAAGTGGAATGTGAGTGATTAAGAGAGCACACCGACACACATATGATGCTAATTGCCACAGGTATGGCGATGTTGGTCAAGTTCTATCTTGCAGAGAGACATCAGTCAGTATGGTTTGCCAGCATATCAGCTTGTTAAAACATGCCAAGATGTCAGCAGATGTACTGCGGCAAATGCAAGTGGAATCAATGATTTTGTCATCTGGAATCTATCGATACCACCAAGCAACTCAGGAGTCCCTGAATATTGCAACTGCACTCTCTGATATGATTCCATTGTGCGAAAATTTGAATTTGCACGTTGATGCCGCCATCAAAATTGAGGTCGCCAATTCGCTATGGGATCACGGTGAAATGGGAACCTCAATTCGTATGCTACAAGCAATTGATAAGGAGTCATCGCTACCAAAACAGAGCATTCGGGTCAATAGGTCCGACCTCCTTTCCAAGATTGGACACAAAGTGTCCCTGGCTCGCCTGGAAAACCCTCACGACATTCAAAAAACTTACCTTGGTCCAGCGCTGAAGGAGTTGAAACGAGAAGGCAGCAGTGAGGCAGGGTCGGTCTATCATCAATTTGCTACCTTCTGCGATGAACAACTGCAGGACCCAGACGGGCTCGAGGACTTGGCAAGATTACAAAATTTGCGCGCAGCCAAGAATGATGAAGTCAAGGATCTCAAGGCTCTCATTGACTCGACCAAAGAAAGTCAACTAAAAGCCAAGTATGCACACGTCCTCTCCAAAGAGAAGCAGTGGCTAGAGCTTGATGAGAAGGAGCTGAAGCGAGTAGAGCAAACACGAAGTGAGTTTGTTCAGCTTAGCTTGGAAAATTATCTGCTCTCTCTTATCTCATCGGATGACTACGACAATGATGCGCTGCGTTTTACGGCATTGTGGCTAGAGAGGTCTGCTGAGGAATCAACAAATAAGGCCGTCATGAAGCATTTGTCCCTTGTCCCCACGAGAAAGTTTGCACCATTGATGAATCAGCTGACCTCTCGGCTTCAAAGTCAGGAGGGCACATTCCAAAAACTGCTCTTTGAGCTCATTTACACCATCTGTATTGACCATCCCTACCACGGGATGTATCAGATTTGGTCAGGAACGAAAGCTCGAGCTCAGCAGAAAGATGACGTGGCTGTGCAGAGAGTTAGAGCAACAGAGAAAGTTGCGCAAAAACTCTCTGCAAACAAGTCAGTCGCAAATATTTGGTTGTCAATTGATAAGACGAGCAAGTACTACCACGGCCTTGCAATGGAAAGAAACCCTAACAAGTACAAGTCTGGAGCCAAGATTCCGCTTAAGGATTCTGCAGCAGGGCAGTACCTGGTCAGTTACCTTGCACGATATCGTATTCCTCCCCCAACATTGCACATTGAGGTCTCAGTCACCAAGGACTACTCCAATGTTCCCTTCATATCTAAGCTGGAGCCCACAATGACAATTGCGTCGGGGGTCAGCGCACCAAAGATCATTACTGCTGTCGGCACCAATGGGATCAGGTATAAACAGCTGGTCAAAGGCGGCCATGACGATCTGCGACAGGACGCAATCATGGAGCAAGTGTTTGCCGCCGTATCGTCTCTTTTGAAGCTGCACCGAAGCACGCAACAAAGAAACCTTGGCATCAGGACCTACAAAGTTTTGCCACTTACGGCATCATCTGGTCTTATCGAGTTCGTTCCAAACACGATTCCGTTGCATGAGTTTCTCATGCCAGCACATGAGAGATACTATCCGAGGGATCTCAAGGGTTCGCAGTGCCGTAAAGAGATTTTCAATGTGCAGAACAGAACAACTGAAACGCGCCTAAGCACGTATCGCAAAGTAACCGACAGATTTCATCCCGTAATGAGATATTTCTTCATGGAGTACTTTGTCGATCCGGATGAATGGTTCGTCCGAAGATTGGCGTATACACGGAGTACTGCAGCGATTTCTATGCTGGGCCACGTCCTTGGACTGGGTGACCGTCATGGCCACAACATTCTTCTAGATTCCCGGACTGGTGAGGCAGTGCACATTGATCTTGGTGTGGCCTTTGAGGCTGGTCGTATTCTCCCAGTGCCAGAGCTGGTCCCTTTCCGGCTGACTAGAGACATTGTAGACGGTATGGGAATCACCAAAACCGAAGGTGTTTTCAGGCGTTGCTGCGAATTCACACTTGATGCATTGCGAGAGGAGCAGTACTCAATCATGACGATTCTGGATGTCCTGCGATACGACCCTCTGTACACCTGGTCAATATCACCGCTCCGACTAGCCAAGCTCCAGAAAGCCAGAGACGAAGAGGGTGGCGGAGAGGAGCCGGAACCTAGTGACACAGCAGAGGCAAAGAAGGCGAAAAAGCAAAATGGCCGGACGAACGAGCCTTCTGAAGCAGATCGAGCACTCGAGGTTGTGAGGAAGAAGTTGTCAAAGACTCTCAGTGTAACGGCAACAGTCAATGACTTGATCAACATGGCTACAGACGAACGTAACTTGGCTGTATTGTACTCTGGTAAGAAATCCCGATGAGAGAGAAATTTGGGAACATTGACTGACATGAGGCTTGTTAGGATGGGCTGCGTATGCGTAAATGTATGGTCAAGATTTACTGTCTTTTTGTCATAGACGAGCGAGAGCGAGCGTGTTAGGAGATACCCATTTTGGTGTTGAATTCATTATAGATCTGAACATGTACAAACTCAAGCGCTCTTGTTTAAAAAATCCACTCCTTTTTCTCTACTACCTGCGTTTTCTTTATTGCCATCACACTTCTTGCTCATTAGAGCCAGTAAGCTATTGCGCATTCTGCTTCTCAACCGAGCCAGCAACGCTAGACTCATTTGCTCGCGAGACATCATCAATCCATCCGTGAATCAGCATTCAACCCGCTCTGAAAGCATGTCTCTTCCTCGTCCCTGCTTTGGCAATCCAATTAGATGTACGAAATGTGATGACCAAGTCGGAACGTATGAGCCCGGCACTAGCAGCATCACACAGGGTCCAGACTTCCAACAATGTGATTAGTGGAAATACTTGACCAGACAATACCCCGGCAAGTAGTTCGCGGAGATCTCCACACCAACTAGGCGGGGATACCCGTCAGTGAAGCCATGTTATTAATGGCCGGAGCTGCCGAGGCTGTGGGCTGGTTTCGGTAGTTGGCGTTGGAAGGGCATCGATGTGCACGAGCGGAACAAGCGACATGCATGGCAAGAGCGGTATATGCAAAATCGGGCGGTAATTAGACAGAGAAAACCGCAGTACGGTGGTCTTGGAAACTAAATGTAGTAGCTACATGTATCGTGGGATACGGGGTCTGGTGCTTAATGGCTCCAACAGAGCGTGTCAATCTCTCGGTGAGATATTGACCTGGTTACCTGGGGTGTCATCCCGGAGCATCTATCAGTCATTAGTGGGACATACGTATTACTAGTCTGGTATCACAAACATCTGAGACAGGTCAGTTACGATTTCATGCCCAAGACACAACCTGCCAAAATACGACACAGTAACACAAAATCAACCGCCCCGCTTGTCAGAGGTCCCGACTCTTAACTCCTCACACATAGGGGCCGGAAAATTAATGTCCATCCACTACACACCTGCTCCATTTCCTCCAAAGACGCTCTCGTGTGCTCTCCTGTCAGCGAATCCTTCCAGTCAAACTACCTAGTGGTCAATCTTACGCCTCCTATAAGCTTAGTGCAACGTGCCTGGTTGGGAGCGGATGTGATGGATGTCGAGCTGCGTGATTCGGTAATGGGCATTGCGAGGCAGCCGGCGTGATCCGTGAATACCGCTGGAGGCGAGTCCGAATTTTCCTTGGAGCAAGATTGGGTGAGGGTAGTGCCGATTGCCGAGTCCACTGCTGACCGGGCCGAAAGCTAGTGACAGCTTTATGGCGAAGCAAAGAGCCGTGAGGATGACCAGTGTGAAGAAGACGTGAGAGCAAGGGCGTTCAACGGCGAGGTTAGTGGTCGTTCAGAGGCAGACGACAAATTATATAAAGAGCCTTGATTCTCTTCAGGTTGATAAGCATCGGAACATTCAACCACATACTCTTTCACTTCCGTCTTCACCCCCAAACCTTGCCTATACAGACTCGCCCTTCACACAGCCAAAATGGTCACTACCAACGCAATTCTAGCCTTCGCTGCAGCTCTAGTGGGAACTTCGTCTGCCCTTGGAATCAACTGCCGGGGCAGCGGTCTCTGCACGAGTAACAAAGGCATCCTCGGCGAAGCCCTAGGCCAACTCCGGGGTATGGACCAGAGCCAGCAGTTCTCTGACGGTCAACACATCACCTGCGTCAAGTCCTCGGTCACCATCGGAAATCCTTCACTCTGCATCTTCTACCAAAATACCAACGGGCGAAGGTGGACAGTTGCCCAGACGGCCAGCTTTGTCCAGCAGCTCATTGACCACGGATGTGCTGCTTGCGGCAGCGTGCCTACCGATCCGGGAAACAACGTCAAGAACGGACAACTTACCGCTAACATGGTGACAAACGCCGCTCGTCGTGGCCTGGACATGGCCAACAAAATTGCCAAACGGGAAGAGGCTCGTGAGGAGACACGAGAACCCGAGCCTGTCACCAAGGCCGACGATTCGACTGCGATCCTTGCGCGCGCCCTTGGAATCAACTGCCGTGGTAGCTCAACCTGCGGTGTCGGCGGCATCGGCCACAGTCCCGCTGGCACGCTCGAGCAGGTTCGTGATGCTGTTGCCGCCGGTCCTGACGGGAGCTGGACCAACGGGCAGCATATTGCCTGTGTGGCACATGTCACGGGCCGGCTGTGCGCGTTTTATCAGAACATTGGAGGCCGGTCGTTCAACAAGCAGCAGAGTGTTACCTTTTTGGATCAACTGAGGGACCACGGGTGCAAAAACTGTGGCAGCATCCCTACAGATCCTGGTAACAATGTTGGCAATGGACAGCTGACTGTCAACTTTGTTGCTTAGCTGCGTAGTTTGAACATTGCATATTGATGCAATTGGAGAGTGAAAGGGTCCATGCTGGGTGTGCCGGATGAATAGGTAGTTTTTAAATTTGAAATATTTTCGATTGGTATCCATGGACTGACTCTATCGTGTGAGCCATGTCCCATGTCTATTGAGCATTCGTGTAGGTGCTTTGTGAAGACTAGAGTTGGCGTGGCAATGTTTGCGTCTTCTAATAGATTTGTGGTTTTCTCTTGTCAGAATTTAAATGCGGTCGGTATATGTGCTCGTGATGATTCTGACGGTTTGTGGTCGAAACGGAGAGGAAGAGGTCATCTGTGGAAATGGAACCAGACTGGAGATGAGAGTCGAATTGCTGGCCAGTTTGCCCATCGACGTTACTCAGCGCACGTCGATTACTCCGTCAAGAACTGCCCCAGCGACAACTCACTACTCTTCAGTGGCCGCCGTGCCTTAACTCCGTCCACGTCCACGTCCAGCCAGACCGGACATCGCCTGGGTGTCGTCTCGTCACCAGCTCGAGCAGCTGGCCAATCCCCGGCCCCATGTCACGTCGGCACCCACCCTGCCACACCCCATCGCCCAATCAGATCAACCTATGATACTCCTTCCAGATATCGCTGATGGAGCTGCATGCAAGCCAGAAATTCGGCTCTTCCCAAGATGACATATCATCCAGCTCACGCAGCTTCCCCCGCCTCATCAAGTCCACTGCCTTAATTTTGCCCTTGCGCACGTGCTTGTGTATGGCGATTCGATTTTTCGTCCTCGTAGCGACCTCAAAAAGGGTCAAACGTGCGTCTCCCGGTGCTGTCGAAGCAACTTTCGGTTCACTCGTACCACGAAACACCAACATCCAGCGCCTCTTCCGCTAGCGAACCCCGATACACAACATCGCCCATACGTTTTCCCTTCGCTGCTCATTTCCGACGGAACCGTGCCTCTTTGATCCATGCCATCCGTATCCGGAACGCCCGATTCGACTTCATCTCGCCGTCGGCAGCGTCTCTCTACATCTCCATCTGCATCGTCGGCCAACCCCAAGCGGGCTCGGGTTACCGAGTCTCCCGCTATGGCGACTCTCAGGGCGAGAGGCAAGATGCCAGACATCATTGACCTGACCGAGAAGCCGTCTGCTTTCCAGCCATATAGCGGAGCCAAGAAGCTTGTCATCAAGAACCTTCGAGCGCCCATTAGCCGTGAGGCACAGGTAGAAGAATACTACGCGCGGACAGAAAAGGATCTCGAGGAAGCCTTGGAAGCCATTTTTGCTGATAGAAGACCGGCAGTGCCCTTGGAGCGGTTGTATCGTGGTGTCGAGGATGTCTGTCGCAGGGGCGGCGCTGCAAAAGTTTATCGTTTGCTCAAGGAGCGCATCGATCGCCATTTGCAATTGGTAGTCTTGCCACGAATAAGACGTACCGGCGGGCAGTCAAATATCGAAATGTTACGAAGTGTTAGGGGAGAATGGAATGTATGGAATGCTCAAACAATCACTCTCCGATCAACGTTTAGCTACTTGGACCGGACATTTTTGCTTCGAGAGTCACTCCCATCCATCAACGACATGGCCATCAGCCACTTTAGACGAATGGCATTTCCGCAGTCATCGCAAACCAACGGTAGTTCACCTGGCGAAAAAGCTATTACCGGAGTGTGCGAGATGATCGAGTATGACCGGCGAGGCGACGAAAGACTTGACTCAAATCTTCTCAAGGAATCCATTCGCATGATATACGTTTTGGGTGTTTACGTAAAACAGTTCGAGCCCGTCTTTTTGAAACAGTCTGTCTCATATTTTGAAGAGTTTGGCGAATCATGGAGTGCGTCCAGCCTCAAGGGCTATATTGCGGCATGCGAGAATCTTCTCAACCGAGAAGACCACCGATGTATGGCGTACAACTTTGACAGCGCCACTGTGAAGCAGCTCATGGACTCGGCGCACAAGATTCTCATCGACCAATACTCGGAAAAATTACTACATGGCGACAGCTTGTCAAACCTGTTATCCGATAGAGACGTCAAGTCCATGAGGGGACTCTATGACCTATTACGATTATCTGACATTCAAAAGAAGATGAAGAATCCCTGGACTGAATATATCCGACAAACCGGATCTGCCATCGTATCAGATAAAGAGAGAGGGGATGAAATGGTCCTGCGGCTGTTGGAACTTCGACGGTCATTAGACCTCATGATTAGGGACGCGTTCAAAAAGGACGAAGACTTCTTGTGGGGCATGCGAGAGGCGTTTGGCAAGTTTATGAACGACCGCAAAATAGCGTCCTGTTGGGATACAAACACGTCCAAGATTGGAGAAATGACTGCCAAATACATAGATATGCTGCTTCGAGGCGGATTGAAAGCTCTGCCCAAGGAGTTATTGTCCGACGCCAAGGATCGAGCAGCGGCAGAGAGGGAAGGCCAGGCAAGCACAGCAGATGAGGATGCCGAGTTGGACAGACAGCTTGACCAGGCACTTGAGCTTTTCCGATTTATTGAAGGCAAGGATGCCTTTGAAGCCTTCTATAAAAAGGACCTGGCACGACGTCTGTTGATGGGCCGTAGTGCAAGTCAAGATGCAGAGCGAAACATGTTGACAAAGCTGCGAAGCGAATGCGGATCAAATTTCACACACAACTTGGAGCAAATGTTCAAGGATCAGGAACTTGCCAAGGATGAGATGGAATCGTACAGGCAGTCGAGCATTACGAACCAGAAGCAGAAGGCTCCCATAGACTTGTCGGTCATGATTTTGTCTGCCTCAGCTTGGCCGACTTACCCTGACACGCGGCTCAACTTACCCGACGAAGTAGCCACTCAAATCGAGACATTCGACAAGCATTACAAGAGCAAACACACAGGAAGAGTGCTGACATGGAAGCACTCCCTTGCGCACTGTTCTATCAAGGCATCTTTCCCCAAGGGCACCAAGGAACTTCTCGTGTCGGCCTTCCAAGCCGTCGTCCTGATGATGTTCAACAAGGAGCCCACGGCTGGCTTCTTCACCTACGAACAAATATCCGCCGCGACCGGCCTCCAAGGCGGTGACTTGGATCGAACCCTGCAATCTCTCGCATGTGGCAAAGCGCGTGTCATCACCAAACACCCCAAAGGCCGAGAAGTCAAACCCACCGACACTTTTACGTTCAACCAAGCATTTTCCGACCTCAAGTATCGCGTCAAGATTAACCAGATTCAGCTCAAGGAGACCAAGGAAGAGAACAAAGCCACCCACGAGAGGATCGCCCAAGACAGACGCTTCGAGACGCAGGCCGCAATTGTGCGAATCATGAAAAGCCGCAAGTCTATGGGCCATGCCGAACTCGTCGCCGAGGTCATTAATTTGACCAAGAAGCGAGGAAGTGTCGAGCCCGCCTCCATCAAGAAGGAAATCGAGAGGTACGTTCTCCCCATTTGACCTGGTGGTCGGTTGTGCGACGGTATGCTAACTGCAGCAGCCTTATCGAAAAGGATTATCTTGAGCGAGAGGATAATTCGTATACCTATTTGGCGTAATTCCTGATACTCGGGCAGGTTAATGGGCGTCAATCGTGTACGAGGCGTGTTGTGAGTGATGTATTTATGAACTACCCACCATATTAAGCTGTAGCCGGCAATATAGCGACGTGCTCAACAACCTCATCGTGTAGTGAAAGGCAATAAAACGAGCTGAGGGATGTGTCTCCATCGCCTGCATACAGAGTGCCATTTCTCGGGGTGCGTCGAAAATCAAATGTGTTGCTGTGCCCCTGGCTGCGTGACGGTGTCATAATAGTCGGCGAGCAACGCTTTTAGTTTTACAAGTTGGCCGATTTGGACACAGTCCCGAAGAGGCTTGTATCTGTCGAAACACACACACACACACACACACACACACACACACACACACACACAAAAGGCATGAACTGGCTCGCTTCGACAACACTCAACCTTGCAAAGGCAGTCATTGCAAAGACTAGCCTAGACAGGGCCACCTACCCATCACGAAGAATTAAAGAGATGTGCTTGACAGAGAAACATTAATCATTCAAGTTAAACAAGGAGCCGTGTTTCCTTCGGTACAAATTGAACGCCTCCGCCCTTGGTACAATTCTGCTGGTTTGCCCGTCGGCCATACAAGTCAATCTGATCCACGTACATTACTTAAAAACCTCCAAGCACACTAATACAAATTATCCATACACTAACCCAAACATCAGGCTCATTAATACGGCCGGGTGGTGGGTCGATAGCCGCCCGTCGACATCATGGGATTGTACCTGGCCGTCGGCGACGCCCACCGATCATCATCATCATATACATCGTCCACGATATCCCGTCTGGACATTCTGCTCGAACATCTTGTCCCCCGTCGTTCTCCAAAGTCATCGTCGTATTCGTCATCCACGATATCTCGTCGGGATGCTCTGCTCGGATATCTCTTCCCCCCTTGGAAGTCATCCTCTGCAGAGGGGTAATAGGGATCCCTGTCCCTCTTGTAGCTTCGTTCTCCGCGAAGATGGTCGGCGATGCGCACTTGCTCTAGATCGTAGGCCAAGTCGTCCAGCTGTTCCCGGTGGACAGCCTGTCTCACCCTGTGCGGGGGGACGGCCCGCGGGGAAGGGGGTTGCACGACCACGGGGCGGCTCTGCTGCTTGCCATCCTCCTTTCCCATCTGGTACCACCTCTGGAAGTACTCGAACGCGGGCTGCCGCGAGGAGGACGAGGTGGACGGCGGCGAGGGCGGCATGGCGTGGTCCTTGTGCTGCTTGGAATGCTGCCTCTGCGGAGGGGAGTCGACACCGAAGTGCTCAGGGCGGTCTCGACGGCCGTGACGGGGCTTGGACGGGGAGCGCCTGGTGCGGTGGTGCCGGCTGCCGGAGGCGACTGACGACTGGGGCGTTGTGTAGCCCCCTTCGTCGGAGGAGTAGCCGCTCTCGAAGGACGTGACGGAGTCCCGAGAGCTGCGTGAGCTGGGAGGGGATTTTGCGTAGGCCTGGTGGGCGCGCTGCTTGCCGCCGGGTCGGATGTCGCGGTTGGGTGTGAAGGGCCTCGGGTTGTGAGGCGTGTTGGAGCGACTTTGGTGGCCTGGACCCGGGGCCCTGTTGAGATTCCTGGGGATTTGAGGTACGGGTGGTGAAGGTCGTTGTTGTTGCGGGTGTTGCTGCTGCTGCGGTGGCATTTGGGGTGGCATGTGAGGCGGCACTTGGGGCGGCATGGGCCTCGACGGTGGCTGCTGGTTTACTTGCGGCTGTGGTGCTGCTGGAGGCCGGGGAAATTGCTGGCCTTGGGGAGGGAAAGGAGGAGGAGGAGGTGGTGGTGGTGGTTGTTGACGGAATGGAGGCGATTGCTGTTGTTGGGGATGTTGCGGCGGGCGAGGTTGAGGTTGAGGTTGATGTTGCTGCTGCTGCGGCTGCGGCTGTTGCTGTTGCGCCGCTGGTCGAAACTGTTGTGGCATTGCTGGATTCGCATTCGTGTGCTGCTGCGCCGGTGGCATGTTCATTCTCGGCTGCTCCTGCTGCACCGTGTAAGCATCCGTCATGTTGCCCATGGGCATGTGATGCTGCTGCCCATGCCCCCTCGCAGTGGACGACTGCCTCTTCGGCATTCGCTCCTCCTTCAGCATCTCAATCACATCCTCGTTTCTCTTGGGCACTCGTACAAAGTATGCCGTCACACTTGCCCTCTCATACTTCTTGTCCTGTTTCTTCTTGTCCCCCTGATACGCCTTGTCACTCCTGTACTCCCTGCTCCGACGATGTCCTTCATTGCGGTGTCTATCGTTCCTGTACTTCTCTGACCTCGAGCTATGTACATGATACAACGGATGACTCTCGTTAATCCGAGTAACCTTGCTCTCCAACTGCGCCAAGTGGTACTCATATCTGTCGTCGTCCTCACGATCTTGTAATTTTTCCTGGGCACGCTCAATCTGTTGCTGCACAACCTCTGGCAGTTTCTTCTTCTTAAGCATAACTCTATCGCCCCCTCTATCAAGCTCATACACTCTGAGGGCTGCTGCTTGCTGGGAAATGTCCCTTTCTTCTCTATGCGTGGCGCATTGCCAGGTTGGCAGACATGGATAGCCCAGCTCATCCGTCGCATTTGGGCGTTGAGCCTTTTCCATACGCCAGACAACGTATGTTGAGAGCTTGTGGCGGGCGTCATCCTCGAACATATTTTCATTGCGGAGGTCGACGACGCCGTCCCAGGGTTCGCGTTTGCGGTGGCGTGGGGCCTGTTGGTTCATGTGTTGTTGTTCTTGTTGGTTTGGGCGTTGTTGGAAGTGCGAGGGCTGGCCTTGATAGGCTTGGCCCTGGCTCACGTTTTGCAGAGGAACCTGGCCCATGCCGGGTTGTTGCTGCATCTGGGGATATTGATGCTGTTGTTGCTGTTGTTGTTGAGGAAATTGATCTTGTTGACGCATTGGATATTGTTGCGTGGGAATGGGTCCTGCTCCCCCCATGCCGGGACGAACTGCAGAACGAGGGACTGCACTCGGCATCGACTGTCCTCCCGCGTTGGTTCCATGGGGGCCGGCTGTTGCTGGCGGCGGAATGGGATTCGGTGCATTTACAGGACGGTTGCCGCCTCCTATGTTGGTCTGGGGGAATCCCGCCCGAGGGAACGATTCCATGTTTTGACTTGGCAAGGTTTCACAGTTTTGGCGTTGTAGGGAAGATTTGCTGTCAAGTCGTTTTGAAAAGGGAGGTTCAGATGCCAGACTGTTGTTGCTTTGTTCTGTTGATGGTTGCTGGTGTAAGTTGAGCAGCGACGTGAATCAAGCAAGCCAGGCATCAAGTATAAGAACCAAGGGGGTTCCTACGCAGAGAGGCAGCAGAGCCTCTATCAAATGCCAACGGTATGTACCATCAAAAAGCCTGGCCCGGCGGACCAAGTGAGGCGGCTGCATTTGGCCAAACAGGGGAGCCGGCAGGTTGAGCTCGGCATGGCAAAGCTGTCAAAGATGGTGGTGACGAGAATACCAAGTGTCAAGTGTGCCTAGGTGCAACACAATGGCTACATTGGCTCGGTGTAGGATGCAAGCAGCTGAGCAATTTCTCACATAGCCTCGTTGGACAAAAGCTGCGGAGAGGGGAAGAAAAAAGGGCTTGGTCAATACGCCAGCGCTGGATGTGAAAGCAAGGCCGCGTGTGTTCAATTTCCCAATTCGGCGATTCGGCTTACACGATGCATCTCAGCACGCCACCTTTGCTTCGGAGCAGAAAGCAGGGGCAAAAAAACAAGAGCGATTTTAATTCTATACAGAAAAATGTCTCAGTGTCTCAGCACAGTCGATCTGTATATTTATTTGATGACACTGTCAGCGTTACCGAAACAATGCATCTGGCGCAGGCAACCACCGGCTGTGCATCACGGCGCCCGCCATCGCCACCTCCACGATTCGTCCGCGGTGAGGCGGCGTGCAGATAACCAGCGCCATTTATTTGGTCCAGCGCACCAATAATTCCGTCTACGAGTTGGGAGGATGAAGATGAAGATCGACTATTACTTGAATGGTGTGCACTGGCACGGTCACCATTGGCCACGCACGAGGCGTACCCCAAACGACGTCAGCGGACAAGTGAACATGGGTACGCCTTTTTCTGGCGATTTGTTTTTTTACTTTGCTGGTCCTGGCATTGGCGTCATCAGCATGCAGATTTGCAATGGTAAGCCATTGTGTAATAATGCCCGTCGGTCCTTGGGCCCGAAGGTGTGTTGACCAAAAGGGATGGGATGGTGTTGCAGTGCAGTCGCGGTGAACGGGCTCAATGGCCACGCCAAAGACCGGAAATATGGCTTCGTGAGCATGTCACGACGGCGGCGAGGGCATTCGAAAGAGCGGTCTAAAGCCAAAATAACGTATATAACGTGGTGTGGTGGCGTTACAAATGCCAAAGCCGTTGCACTGCATTTCCTTCCTTTGTGCGTCTGAACGCCAATCACGAGAACCATGTGTTTGTCACTCTGTCTCTGGTATGCGCGGCCATTGTTACACGATGCTCTTTTTTTTTTGTCTGGGGTTCAAACACTCTTGTGTTGATCGCCATGCAATATTCTCGAGATCGGCTGAGTGACGCATCGTTTGCATTGATGTATCTGGCGACTCGGTGGGCAACATTATGATGCAACATTGAAGGTGCAGGGTCGGCATGCCCAACTTGGCAAAAAAAAAAAAAAAAAGCGCCATGTCCAGTTTTACGTCACGTCTTGGATACAGTTCGTGTCGCTGCCTTGCAAGGAAGGGTGCATTAGACGAACCGTCGTGGATGCATGGCTGCTTTTGACGCCTCAATGTGCCTTGACGAGGACGTCGGAGAATGAGGCGGCCAGCATGAACCACCAACCAGCTTGAGTTCAATGTTGGCTTCGGAAGCGAAAATAAAAGGCTTGACCATGTGACGATGCTGCAGGGCACTTTGTACAATTCTTTTTTCCCCCTTTGTTACAAAAAAAGCTTGTTGGTGAAAATGCCGTGCGTCGTCCTGGGGAAACGGGTGTAACCTCGCAGTCCACTTTGTGCCAAGATGCCAAATAAAGTGCGAACAGCGAGCGCCGTACTCCGTATTCTGTGTTCCCACGACGCCGTGCGACCTCGTCTCTCCATGCAAGCTGGTGATAGACGTCTGACACTGAGGCTTGGGAAATCCGGCACCCCGGACGATCCAGACAGCCCGTGGGTAGCAACCGGAGCAGCCCTCCGTACACGTCGAATTCCCCCGGTTGAAAATGAAGTCAAGTACGACTCGACGCATCTGTGTTGTTGAAATGCGGGCTCGAACCGGCATGCATGCCACTCTGTCTCTTGATACATACATATGGCCCCCCAAGACTAGTCGCAAGACGTCTGGTGACCTGCAGAGACGAACACCGTGAGGCTTGTGTTGTCCCGTCACGTCAGGAAACAAGGCAGCGTTGATGTGACACTTGACGGAGCCGCACAGCCAGAAAAAAAAATAAGCCCAAGTTCCTGTCACTGATATTTGGAGGGTAGCATTCTGAATCTTGGCCCGTTACACACCAAGGCAAGGCACAAGACGACATCAGGCCAACACTCAAGGCCAACATGGTCGTTTTCTTGCACCCCCAACATTGAATTGCATCCAAGGCATCAATGATGATTCTTACAGCACCTGAACCCCTCCTCCTCCAGAGTCTAGATGGTGTCCTTCAGCTCGCAAGCCACGAACCCTCGTCTCGTGTGTTGGCACTTCTGAGCCTTGCATCTTCTCGCGCCGCCTGCCTCACTTGTGCCTCACTTGACGCTTTAATGTTGCATTGATCTCCTGACATCACTCGACATCACTCGACAATTCACACCTACGTCGCCCGGCACCACAACTGCCAATGTGCCGACATCACAGCCCACATGTCGCCAACCCCGAGCGGACTGGAAGCAGCCTTATGTATCAATCGATGCCCTGCCCCCGCCCTGCCTTGTCTGCGCCTTCAATGTTGTTCTGGAACATGCACCAAGGTCCAACCAAGGTCAATCAATCCCTTTGTGCGTCTGGCCTCGGTGTCTCGACCCCCCGCCTCGCCAAACCAATCGTCATTCGTGTCCATGTCTCGTCAAAAACTCCGTCCTGTGCTACGTACCAAGAATGCACCCTCGCTGAGAAGCTTCACAACTGTCAAGATGCCCATTTGTCTTGTCGCGCGCGTCTCTCGCCATTGGCCGGCGTCGTGTCTCGTTCACCGGTCTCCCAGGCCATGCACGGCTGCAGCGGTCAAGAAGCAAGTCTCAGCCACGAGACTCTGGTCGGAACCTTGCCGAGCATATTTATTAGTGCTACTGTTGTTTATACTATTATTTTTCTAGTCTTTTTTACTCTTCTGTGCTCCGTGACAACGCATTGCTGCTTGATATCGGGCAAATCAGCAGAGATTCGCCACTGGGAAACTCGCACTTGGGCCGTCTCTTTGAGAGGCGCCCTCATCTCACAGCATTCAAGGCCGCATATTGCTACCATGCTTTTGGGTTGCTCTCTTCTGGCGGTAAGCAGTTATCAATACGTGAATTTTGCTGTTCGTCTTTGCGTGTTTCAGCAATCACTGCGTCATGTACCCGTCACGCGGCATGTCCTTTGCTGTGTCTGCGTCGGCCATCTCGCCACTTGTCTTGTGCCATGCTGCACGCCATTTCATGCGTAGCATCTGCGTTCAATGCCTTGGGTGCCGTATCCAATGCTCATCTTATATTGGTGGACTCGTCACTGTTTTTGGGAAATAATATGGTTACAGGGCCATCAGATATTTGCTTCTCATAAACAGCATCGAGGACATGACGTAGGCAGCTGCTTTCGACGCCCAGATATGCGCGTACATTTTCTCTGATATCGTCTTTCCTATGGTCGTCGTCTACCACGGGGGAAATACCTCTCCACCCGCTCAAACACAATATGGCAAGGCCACGTCCGTCATGAGCTTTCAGTTCTTGGCATCTGTATAAAGATTTTGTCGCCTAGATGAAGCCATCTTCGCTGGAACAGGTCCAGGGGTGGTGAGTCTGTGGTGCTCGTCCGGTGGGCTCTGTAACCATCGAACTCTGGATGATTCATCAGACACGGCTGTATTGCTTCTCCTGGTAAGTGTTTCTAGAGATACCATGTGGCCCATTTTGAAGCCATGAGGTCGACTTGATCACGACCCTGCGTCTTCTTCGTATTCACTCACTTTCATCACCGCCAAGGGCAACCGGTAAAGTAGCCAGCGCACAATTCCAGATAAAATGGCACAACTAACTTTCTGGACCAAGTGAGGCCCTCATAGGGTTGCCTATGGTTAAATTGACAAAATATCAAGTCGGTGTTGCCGAAATAAACGAAGCCGCGGATAGATCCAGCCTTGACGCTAGATGCGGCCATGGTTGAATCAAGCGTGCTTCTGGAAATAAGGGTTGAAGTACGAATTGCGCCAGTATAGCATGGGTGAGAACAAAGTTCGGTCAGACTTTGAACTTTTTTTTTGTCCGATGATCAGTCGGGCGTTTGAGTGGACTACCACTTGCACATTACCTGACCGACGGGATGTATGATGTGTCGACTGGGTTTGAATTCGAGTTTCCGGGACGTTGTTGCATCCAGAACCGCATGTTGTATCTGGTGGAATTTCGTGTCAATTACGGAGTACTCCCTACGATGTCAGAGGTCGAGATGCAATAGTGGCATCCATGCAGAGCATATCAGACACTTGTTGGATCACAGATTGGCGATGCATAAAATAAATGTACGGGGTATCCACACCTTTGTTATAGATACCTACGTACCAAGTACCTCCACAGTGTTTTTAGGTACCTTCACGCGAATCAGTAGTTATTTAAATACAATCAGTTACATCGCCAGTACAGACGTAGTTAGTCATGGCCAGCCGCTTTCCAAAGCCAGTCGCGCGTTCCTGTAAAGTGCAACCCACATTACGCGTGCCCACGCCAACACCCGCGTCAACATGGGTGTGTCTAACCGCATCTGCACGCTCATCATTGTCTTCAGTGTTCCCGCCTTCACGGCTCCAGTCATCTACGGCATGCTCTGAGTTTGCGAGCGCACCAGACCTCTTCTCGACCCAATTCCTGGGCCTTGGTCAGTTAGTCGGTGACAGCTTCTGCACCTCCCCCGCTCATGTCGATATCCTGCCAACACGCTGCGCCTTCTGCCCCCTCTGTTTATGACGGCTGGCATCACGAGTCTACCTATACGTGCCTCGCCGACCTCCCGCAGAGTACTGCACGGAGCACGCCAATTGGCCCATGTTCACATTCCCTCACACGCCTGTCATACCGTGGCCAAGCCAATGTTGAACAGGGCTTCCCAGAAATTCCAGGACGCTGCCCCGACGTCGCGGCCGCGTCCAGCCTTGGCCAAGCAGCTCTTTCCGTCAAGCAGTCCCGGTTCTTCTATTGGCGACATTCGAGACCAGCTCAAGAAGCCAATATCGAGTAGCTCTGCGGCTGCATCTGCATCTGTGTCGGCGAGGACTGCACTAGACAATCGATCAGTCAATCTGGCACAAAATGGTCCCGGTCGAGCAGCCACGTCTAACCGCTCAATAGCTTCGCTATACTCGGCCCACTCAGATTCTTTCAAAACAGAACCGGCCTGTATCGACCTCACGGCAACCGATTGTCCCGCTGCGAAGAAGGTGCACGAGCCTGTTTATTTTGTGGAAGAAGACTTCAGCGACGACGATGCCCTTGACCTTGATTTTGAGGCGCCCCAGGCCCTCCCACGGCAGCTGATACCACCTGCAATGCAAGATTTGCCTCCAGCTACGCCGGCTCAAAAGGAGACAGTGATTCCGTGGTCCTCCTCGCCAGCATCGCACTTTTTGCCGCCAAATCCGCACCGGGCATTATCGGTTACCTCCAACACATCTCAAACTCCCTTGAAGCGAGAGTCATCTGGCGATGCCGAGATGATAGATCCTCCAATACAAAAGAAGGCAAAGAAGAGGGTTCTGCCTGCTAGTTTCCATAGGGATGCCGAAGCTGAAGAGCACGACGGCAGTTTGAAAACGCCAGCGCAAAAGACGAAAGCTCTTTGGGATTCAAGTGCTAGCGCCATAAAAGAACAGAAGAAACTACTGAAAACTCACAGAAACTCTCGTAACTCTGACCTTGAGCAAGATGTTGTCCCAGAGACCATGCATGATGTTGAAGAAAAGGCATCCAAATCCGTTGCCATTTCTCTTAGCAGTGAACAAGCACACGTGGTTGACATGGTGGTGAACCAAAACCAAAGCGTCTTCTTTACTGGTCCCGCTGGTACGGGAAAGTCTGTTCTTATGCGAGCCATTATCAGCGAGTTGAAAAAAAAGTACGCGAGAGACTCGGAGCGAATTGCGGTCACCGCCTCGACCGGTCTTGCCGCGTGCAACATTGGGGGCATAACCCTTCACAGCTTTGCTGGTAAGACGGCTTATACCGCATGTCACGATCATCATATTAACCTTTGGTAGGCATCGGCTTGGGCAAAGAAGCACCCCCGGCTCTAGTCAAAAAGATTCGGAGAAACCCCAAAGCCAAAAATCGATGGCTTCGGACAAAATGCCTCATCATTGATGAGATATCCATGGTTGATGGAGACTTGTTTGATAAGCTCTCCCAAGTTGGGCGCACAATCCGTAACAACGGCCGCCCCTGGGGAGGGATACAGCTGGTCATTACTGGAGATTTTTTCCAGCTCCCTCCGGTTCCAGATGCAGATAAGCGCGATTCCAAATTCGCCTTTGATGCCGCAACATGGAGCACATCAATAGACCACACCATTGGATTGACGCAAGTTTTCCGCCAGCGCGATCCGGAGTTTGCTCGCATGCTCAACGAAATTCGAATCGGCAAAATCAGTGATCATACTGTGCAGGCGTTCAAGGCACTCTCCAGGCCTCTCAAATTTGAAGATGGTGTGGATCTTGCTGAATTATATCCGACACGTGCGCAGGTTGAAGGCTCCAACGAAAAGAGGCTCCGCGAGCTCCCAGGCAAAATTCACCGGTACGAGGCCCTAGACACTGGTGACCCAGCGGTTCGAGACAAGCTACTCATGAACATGATGGCTCCAAAGGCTATCGAGTTGAAAATTGGCGCCCAGGTGATGCTCATCAAAAATTTGGATGAGTCCTTGGTGAACGGATCACTGGGCAAAGTGATTGCGTTTTCTGACGAAAAGACATTTGAAATGGGTGGTAACAACGCCTTCGATGAAATGACGGGCGACTCAATGGCCAAGGCTAGGCGAAAATTACAACCATTCAGCCGTGACTCTGGTACGGACTCAAGCAGCCAACAATATCCAGTAGTACAATTCATCTCCACGGGAGGTGTCCCGCGCGTCATTCTCTGCCAGCCGGAGGAGTGGACAGTCGAGCTACCAAACGGTGAGATTCAAGCAAAACGAAATCAGTTGCCTCTTATCCTGGCTTGGGCGCTGTCCATTCATAAGGCTCAAGGCCAAACGCTGGAACGAGTGACTGTTAATCTTGGAAAAGTGTTTGAAAAGGGCCAGGCATATGTAGCCCTGAGTCGAGCTACCAGCCAGCATGGACTTCGCGTGTTGGGTTTTGAGCGATCAAAAGTAATGGCACATCCAAGAGTCGTTGAATTTTATAGCAAGCTGTCTTCGGTGGACGACTCTGGGCCCAGAATGCCGCAGTCGATTGCTGAATTTATTGCATGTAGGAAAGGCACAACAACAAGTCGACCAAATGGCAACGCTGGCAGTGCAAGGGAACGGGGACATATAGACTTGGACGAGGAGGAAGAAGCAATGGCATCATATGGGTATTGATGGATTGTGTTTCGTCTGAGAGACGAAAAGTAAAGCGTTATTAGTCGGCGATCTCCGCTATGATTGATTATACGGACAAGGCATGTATAGCCGGAGTTTTGGTGCAATATACAATGGCCCTGTACAACGTTTTGCAGTGCATGGGTTTTGAGTGGGAAATCACACTGTATGTCTCCTCTACACTTGAATGATTGATTAATCCATTGAATAAAAAATGCCACTGCTAACTGGTGCATGTCAAGCAAGTACTCGCTCATGAACATGCTCACTAGTAACTACCTAGGTACTGTGTGGTGCCTGAATACAGGGCCCCACTGGAATCTTATGTCAGCATGGACCAGGGCTCGGCGGGCCCCTATCGATAAGAAAAGGTTGCTTCTGGCGTGAGTACCCGTCGGTGAGTGACCATTCAATCTGCACGCTCTGGCTGAACATCATTAAAGCACCAACCCAAGTGCACACGGTGTTCGACGGTTCTTCGGGGGAAAAAATTTTAATAATAAGCAGCCGCTTCAGCCCTATAAACCAGCAAACAGGACGATTCCACTTGATGCTCGTATGCGATCCGACTTCCATCGCGTCTAGTGCCAAATAACGCCAACACGACAGAATTTTGTCCCCTAGGCAACAACAGGATCGGCTTGTATAGCGCGCATCAGAAGCGGTCGAGGCAGTCGACAAATCCCCAGCGTGCAGACGTTTGCCTAGCTACGTGGTCGAGCGTTTCGGAGAATTTGCCGCCCCCTCTCAGCGGCGTGCTGGAGAAACGAGTCAAAGAGGGCCGTGTATTACGAGGCGAGCGGACAAAGCCTCCCTATGATCGGTTGATCTGGGTGTTTGCTGACGCCGACGCTCTAAGGAGTTGTTATAGCGGCGCCAAGGAGGACGAGGGAGTTGTACCTCGGGTTTTCATGGGCGAGCGTTGCCTCTGAGCTGTCCACGCGACCGCCTGTGAAAATGGCGAGCCAGTTTATTGGACTGCACATGGAGGTCGTGTTGCGCGAGCCGTTGGGTTATCGGCTCACAGGCATCGTTAGGGATGTTGAGGCGGGAAGCAGCCTGACTCTAACCGATGGTACGTATTACAGTCCTTGTTGCGTTTTTTTTTTTTCCCCTCGAACAAGTGCTAGTTTGCTTGATGCTGTGTAACTGACTCTGGTGTCTTTCAGTCCGCGCTGCGTCCACGGGCAAAGAAGCTGCGCAAATGACGATTGATGCCGCTAACATTGCTGGTCTTTCTGAGGTAACCTCCAAGCAGGTCTCGCCTACCAAATATGTTTCCCCTGCTTTGGAGGCTGGGCACCCCCCCGTCCCGCAACCTGCACCGCCGAATCAGCAATTACCACAATCCTTCGTTGATCCGGCAATTTTGAGCGTTGGCAGACGTCCGACTTCGAATACCCCGTCGGCTTCTGCTCCCGGGCCGCAGTACCAATCTGACAAAGGAGAAGTCCCTGTTGAGCGGCCGGGGATTCTTTCTTCGGTAACCTCTAACGACTTGCAAGGCAGGAGGCCTGAGCAGGATATACTGGATTCAATCCAGGGCTTGAAGATCAGCCATAACAGCAATTCTGGCCGCCAGGCCTCAACAGCAGGGGCGGCATCTCAAACTCCGTCACAGAAGAAGAAGGGTCGTTCAAAGAACTCCAAGCAGGCCAAGGCGAATAATGCTACATATCAGGACAAGCAAGATGCTGATGGATCTAACGTGAGCGGTCATGGCAAAGGCTGGAGACAAACACCAATCCTCCATAGCACACCACACTTCCAGCCGTATAACTCTCTAAAGAGAAACGACAAAGGTCGCAAGGGGCTTGCTGACAACGGCTGGGCTTCTGAGGACGTGACTGAGGAAATGGGCGACTTTGATTTCGAAAATAATCTAGCCAAGTTTGACAAGCGCACCATCTTTGACCAGATGCGTAAGGAGGACGAAATCGACGACGCTGATCGTCTTGTATCGCACAATCGGCGACCGAAACCCGGCACGGCAGGCGGCAAAAACTTGCACTATACAGAAATGGTCCTCGATGTGCCTTCTTCCAAGGGCGGACAAAACGCCGACTTCTGGAACAGCGAGGCGGAACTGGGGGTGAATGAGTCGGAGAGACCGAGTGGACGAGAGGCGAAGAACGGCGGTGCTTCTTCTGCTACAGCGGCGGCTGCGGCGGCTCCTGTCAAGCCGCGAGCGGAGAGTAAGTCGGGGCTTTCAAGGCGTTCACAATCCCGCAAGGCAAGTGGCGCCGTTACAAGCCAGCCGCTCAGCAGGGTGAACTCGTCTGTACGTTTATCTCAATCCTCCACCCGATGGCCGACGCCTAAATCAGGCAACCGTGACGCTGATGGCCGTTTACAGCAGCGGGTCGAGCAGGCCGGTCTCTACCTCATCCCCTCCCAGCGCCGCCTCGAAGCCATTTCCACTCTGCAAATGCTTAATCTCGAAAACATTGCCGCCAACGAGATTGGCTTCTCAGAAGCCCTCATGGCGGAAAACGCCGGCCGTGGCATAGCAGAAGTAGCAGTCACAGCATTGTCTGATCCTGCCACGAAAGTCCGATTTGGACTCGCTCTAGCCGCCCCAACAACTGACATCTCCTCATCTCTGGGTGCTTCGACTATTGTCGTCCTCGCAGGCAACAACAAGTCTGGTATTCGGGCCCTGGCGGCGGCTCGTCACTTGCGCAACAAGAACTTTGACGTCCTAGTCTGCCTTGTGGGTTTCGAGCGCGAAAAGGACCTTTTGGAAGACTTGCGGCGGCAAATACAGCTATACCGTGCATTTGGAGGTAAAGTCCACAACAAGAATGACTTTTTCGAGCATCTCCGCAGATCTTCTGCTTCGGCAACCCCCGTCTCCGTATCTCTCATCATAGATGCCCTCCTCGGATTGACCATGTCCTTTGAAGAACTCCGCATAGGCGACCAAGCGACCGTCTACGAACTGATGGAGTGGGCGAACCGCAACGAAGCCTTTGTCTTATCCGTCGACGTGCCAACGGGCATCGACCCTACCTCTGGCAAAATCGCCGTCATCGACGGCGCTCACCTCTACGTCAAACCGCGATACGTCGTCGCTATAGGAGCACCCAAGAAGGGGCTACTGGAGGCCGTCACGCCCCCTCTGGACGGAGAGCCTGGCCCCCTGAGCAGCGGCGCCCACGAAGATGAGTGGCGACTGTTTATTGCAGATATGGGGCTGGGCAGCGCGGTGTGGAGAAAGGCAGGGACCAAGGTACGCAAGGGCATCGACTTTGATGGCAAGTGGGTGCTTGAGATGCGGTATCAAGGCGTGGAAGATGACTATGAAGAGGATTGAGGCTGGTGCATTCGAGATAATTCATGGCTTTAGCGGGGAAAAGGATGGACTATTCTTTATGTCTCTGAAACGGACTTGAGCGATGCTGTTATTTTTTTTAAATGGGGCCAGCTTCAAAATTGCATTATTTTAAGCGTTGTAATTACCTTAGCTCGTCTGGCGACGATGTATTACGATCCAAGACATATCAATGAATAGTACCCCTGTGGGATACTGAAAATAGTAGCAAATTGTTTGACGGGTGACTCGGGGTGAGGGGTGTTGATAATGCGCATTGTACGGCGTTGTATACATGTTACTATTCCGAAGCTCTTGGCAAGGGATGAAATATTGCCGGGGCTGTGGGCATTATATACATTGTCACATGAAAAAAGTACCAAAAAAACAGTCAATGTATTTCATTCGCGAGACGCCCCTATAACTTAGGTACTACTGTGCGGCACACGAGACCCTCTCCTTCTTCGCGGTTTGTTACGCCTAGGACTACCTAAGCGCATAGGTGTTCCGAGTTCATTCCGTGTGCTCCATTGAAACGGGGCAAACTCCCTTTGAATTTCCTTGACCAGCTGCCTTAGGGTGAAATCGCCATTGTGCTTTTCCCAAAGACGATCTCTAATTGATCCATAGATGATTGGGTCGAGCGTTGAGGAAATCCACCCAAGTATAACGTATGTTCGGGACTTAATGTCTTCATACTTTTCCCGTTTGAAGGAGTATTCCACGTGTAGTATTGAATGTACGTCTGAAAATCGAATATCTGGGTCTATTTCTTGATACCGTGGAAGCTCTTGAATGGCGCTGTGGATGGTTGGCGGCGCGGGCTCAGATAACTTATCCGTTAACTGCTCCTCTTGATTAGGGTCAATCATGCCCCAAAGACGATTATCCTCAGCGATGATTTGTAGGTGAGTGAGCCAGGCGTTCCAATGACTTGGAAGCTCAAGTTGCACCTTCTTTGGGGGTATATATACCTCGTTGTTGATATACATTGGAAGCTTGGAAATGTGAAAAGAACTGACATATTGACACGCACACAATTGAAGGCTTTGGGCGCTGTGCAAGTGGCAGGAAAGGTGCGGAGGTACGGAGTAGAATGTCCACTGTAACAGGGTCGTGGCCACGCCACAGTATGTTAGACACCGTACATATACTGTCTGGTGCGTCAAATGTCACACGCTGTCCCAGACGAACCATTGAAAGCTTCGGTTGCTAGGATTACTTAGATATCTGCACTGGGCGCAACTGTTTCCTGATGTGGACAGGGGGTACATATGCATCGTGTAACCACCGTGTCTTAACGAATAGCGACACATGTTCACAAACCTTGATATTCCCAGCATTGCAGGACGGTCCCTTGAGCCGCTTTATTTACAACGCTCCCTGCCGTGATAACGTGACATAAATGTGCGGCTCGCCCCCCATCTTGGCACCCCAAAGGCAGAGGACACGCGATGGCCCAAGCCATGCGTGCTACAGGTCAAGCTTTGCCAAGGGACAGTGGTAGTACTAGTACGTAGTAGTAATGTGCGGTCCAGGTCCAGGGCAGAAGGGACAAATTGACAGATTCAGCTGCTTGAATTACTGCGTGAAGTTTAATCTCGGAGAGTCAGTGTGTTCCCAATGCCAAGAAAGGCAGGTGTTTACGGACGACATGGGACGACACGAGCTGGCAAATGTTGATCCTGATTGTCAGGGTCCCCCTGCAGTTCCTTATGGAAATGTGCTGACGCCTATCACTTTATCAACTCTACATGTAATGGCCACCATATCTGGCAGTATGGCGGGAGACGCGGGGGGGTCTTTGCAGCTCAAAGACGGCACTCGTTATGCCTCCCATAAGTGGCACAGAGAGGCCCAAGTGGTGAGACTAGATTAAAGTGTGGCGTCGCAGAGGCAGTGTTAAAGTTTGTCTTGCGGCGCTTTGGTGAGGGGAGACTCGAGAGGGAGGGGGGTATCCAGTGATCCACGCCATGCGTCAAGCAAGGCCGGGATGTTCTAGTGCGCTTCCATTGTCCAGCAACTGCCGCCCGCGGCCCAACCGCCTCGATTCGGTGACGTTTGATATTGATCTCGGACTCTAAAGTTATAATGGGTTAGCACAATGAACACTAGAAACGGTGGGCTACTAGAGGCATCGGCATGCGTCTTAATACAACATTGAAAGTATTGAGTTGTGTTGCGTTGCACGTAGGTTTCGCAACGGCTTGCCGGCTCTAATGTCCCCGCCTTGTTGTATCATATTGCGTCTGATGTCCGCGGAGGAGTTCAAAGGCCGATAGGGGTTCAATGTTCCGTAAGACGTGGCCCAAAGCAGACGGCAGAATGGTCGAGGAGAATGGAAGTCATGTTCATGCTGGCGGCACTGGGTGCAGAGAATTGATCCATTCATCCAGGGAGAGGGCAGGCGCCACGTAAATGACTTGCCTTTTCTGCACCGTACGATTACGGCTTTGCCAGCAAAGGCGGGAAAGGGAAAGACCAGCCAGCGTTGAGGACCAAAGAAGAGGGTTTAACTAGCCCTTCCGCGGGGGCTTGAGATGGAGCCGGACTCCTGTCCTGTTTGAACATATCGGCCCTCGAATGTTCAATGTTGTCACCAGACTCACCAGACAGTACATATTCATCAATGCTCACCACCCGGCTTGCCACCAACTCACCACCCCGACGCCGCATCACACCCGTTGCCGAAACTCCCAGCTTTGGGTGTGCACCGCCTCCACTGTGCGGAGTCTTGAATTGGTCCCAACGAATCAGTCCATTCTTTGGTCATGACGACTTTGGTTTTGGGGAACTAGTGTCTCGGCGTCGCTACGATAAGATGGGAGAGAAGACAACTTTGAGCACATCGCGAAACCCATTCATCGGCCCTGGGCCATCTCTCTCCTCCAGCACTTGGCTTTGATACGATCGCAATTGGCAGCCTTGTCAATCAAGCTTCTTCCCGTCGGTGACACACATGCATGGCAACGGCGACTCTCCACAGCCAAGAAATTCAAATTGGCGCCTCGCAGAGTACGTACCTAGGTACCTAGTACTCCGTACGGTAGACTCAATTCCCACCTCTGTCCTCCGCCCCGCTGCGGCCGTTTTGATTGGGGACACCAGCCAGTAATTATCGCTGGGGAGTTGGCAGTTGTCGGGCATTCCTGGACCAGGTCAGGCCAGGTGCTCCTAGTTGACGTTGAACGGTCCGAGCCACCAACCAGTTCTGAACTTGGCCGTCGACCTCGACCATTCAGACTCGCAATTCTCTCCAAAATCAAACTGCAAGCTTCACCACCACTCATACCAGCCTCCGATCCTCTGTATCCGTCGACATACCGTATGCTCCTTGCACGTTTCCAATTCACTTACCGACCGTACCAGCATCCTATCGACGCCTGCAGTGTCTGCGCGACCTAGTACGAGTACGACTCGCGCCAATCGTGACGTCTCCTACCCCTACGTGCATACGAAATTCATTCACCAACGTCTCGCTCCTTCATCGATGGCGCGCCCGCGCTAGGAACGTCATCTTCCTTCGTCTGCACCTTGCCGGCACCTTGACTACGACTGCGCCGCCGCGAACCTGATCCGGTTCCTGCGTCAGTCGGGCAAAGGCAAGGCCAGTCATGTCGACGACGGCGAGCATCGTCCCGACTGGGACCAGGACCGTGTCTCTAGTCACATCGCTCGTCTCAGCGACCCTAGCGACGACTTCATCGGCGATTCTTTCCACAACCACCACGGCGCCGGATCCTGCTGCCACTTCAGCCTACTGGGGAGATGCAAGCCTGAACTCACACGACCAGTCAAACTCGCCTTCTGTATCAAACCTCCGCGAGCCGTTCTATGCGACCACAGTGCCCATGTGCTATGCCCTGGCCGCCACAACCGTCACCTCGTACATGCTTCTCATCATGCTCTTCGTTACTCCCAGGTCTTTCTTGGATGGTGGTGTTGTGTATCTCGGCCGCCGTTCTGGCTTCACCCACAGCTCATCGGGGGGTGACAATATTGGTGGTCGGCCATGGCTCCAGAAAGTTGCGGCCCTTACTGTGGCAGTCTCTCTCACTATCGCGACCTGCGACACATTTCATTTTCTGGCTGAACAATATAAATACGGCGCGCAAAATGCCTCTGTCCTGCAGACAGAGGTTATGGGAAGCATGGAGCTCAGGATCATTCGGCTCGTGTCCAACTTTTTTCTCTGGCTAGCTCAGGCCCAAACGTTGATTCGACTATTCCCCCGCCACAGAGAAAAGGTCATCATCAAATGGGTGGCATTTGCTCTCATCACTCTCGATCTCATCTTTTCCGCCATCAACAGTTTCAAGCATGGCGACGTCAACCAGAACTACAATCCAATGGCGGGGGGCTTCTCACATCCTATCCCAGCGTTGAATTACATGTTTCAGCTGCTCCTGGGGGTTTTATATGCGGCTTGGGTCATATATTACGCACTTATGAAGAAGCGATATGCCTTCTACCACCCCTTGATGAAGAACATGTGCCTTTTGGCTATTATATCATTAACCGCTATCCTCATACCTATAGTTTTCTTCATTCTTGATATATCCAACCCTACGTTTGCACGTTGGGGTGACTACGTGAGATGGGTTGGGGCGGCGGCTGCAAGTGTTATCGTATGGGAATGGGTTGAACGAATAGAGGCACTCGAGCGCGAAGAGAAGAAGGGGGGTGTTCTCGGCAGGGAAGTCTTTGAAGGAGAAGAGATGCTCGAAGTGAGCGCCCTGGATTATCCATGGGCTGGAAAACGAAAGCACCGAAAGAATGGCAGCTTGGGGGGCCTCGGAGGAAGCGGAGGAGGGGGTCATGCAAGCAGCCACGTCAACGGCAATGCAAATAGTGGCGGCTTTGGAAGCCTGAACAACCGTAGTCGCACGCAGTTCAATGGACGGTCAACTGTATCAGCCATCACTGGCCGACAACGCGGCGTTGACCGCACTGCGGCACCAGGCCAGGCTCCCGAGCAGAATACACAGCGAACGATTGGGGACATTTTCCGGCCTCATTGGCCTGCGCGGCCTGCTGCTGCCATGACCCCGGTCAGCAGAACAGATACCCCGAGCGCCGCGAGCACGGTGTATGCTGTTCGGTATCAGCCTTCTTCAGAAACAACTGGCCGCACGCCAGACCTCCTAGCACGGACGCCAGATTTGCATGCTTCACATGTTGAGCAGCAAGCACATTCTCCTGCGAATACGAATTCACAGCCGTTATCTCAATCTTCACCACCAGAACAGACTCAACACCAAACCACTTCAGAATTAACCAGACAAAACAGTTCCCCACAAACTAGCCAGACTCGCGTAGAGACTTCATCGCCCAGACAGCAAAGCGGCCACGGAGCACGGCCATCAACAAACAGTATACTGGATTTGGAGGCAAACTCGCCAATGCCGAGTCCGGCAGACCGCTGGCGAGCATTGACACAGGTATCCAGTCGCCAATCACCAACGCGGCAACAGCAGGCGTCCACTCGAGAAGTGAGCCCGCATGACCCAATGGGAAGCCGATGGGACATCAAATCAAGATTAGAGATGTTTGCAGCAAACCAAGCAGACAAGATTCGCGAAAAGTTCCGACCGACGACTGACACGGACAGTCTGCCGGTGACTTTTATCCCGGCGCCTCCACGGCAAGGTACAGCGCTGGAGCAAGTACTAGAGGAAGAAGGGATAAGCCGGCGGTCCACGTCATCGGATTCAGACGATGAACAACCAAGGAATCAAGGCCAGGCAAGGCATATTGGCAACAGTCAGGATGGCGATCTGCCTGGTGTTCCGTTTGTAGACTCAGTGAGCCCTCCACTCTGGCCTGGAGTCAGACGGCGTCTAGTGACGTACGAGAACGACGACGAATATTCCTACACAGATGGGTCTCTTGAATCGAGCAGCGACGAAGACGCGAGGGAGGATGAATCGGAGGAAGACTCGGGGCCTCCAAGAGGTGGTGGCACTGATGGATCAGCTCGAAGAGAATAGCTGTGCCGGTGGGAGAGGGTCTGACTGGATTTTTGTTTTTCTGTTCCCTTTTTTTTTTTCAAAAATTATTTGATCTTCTCAGCGCGGCGTTTGGGGGCCCTTTGTGGCAGGCATACTTGTTACAGGAAGGGCGATGATGGATTATCTGCGAGGGCCGTTTGGGGCTTCTTACAGTTGGCTTCTTTCATCAGGAGATACTGATTACATACGCAACGGATCAAAGTTTCAGACATGTACATGGCATTTCGCGTCTTGTTCAGGCGAGCGGAGGTTGGCAGCATTTCTACGATGTCAGCGGCTACGATTATGAAATGGAGCAGGCGTTCAGGAGTAATCTATTGGCATGGAGAGAGGGAGAATTAGCCGACTAGAGCATCGGTTGGTTTGTTGTGTTTGATAGTTGCACAGGAGCATGTACATAGATGTGCAGCATGCAAATCAACAAGTTGGAGTTGGAGCAGATGTGGCGTCTCGATATTTGCGGGCGAGATGTGCTTTTCTATTACTCTGTACGGAGACGTTACCCATGAGCGACCAAGTGGACGAAAATGTGCCTGCAGCAAACCCCGCCCCTGGTCGACACCCTCGATTTGGGTCTTGGCGGTCTTTATGATTGGCCAGGTGGCTTGGGTTCGCAAATTACGGAGTACGGGATGTGGAAATGCATCAATTTCGACGGACGGCATGTCAGAGTGTCCACGCGACTTGGTGGCCTCCGTGATTGCCGGGCCTTTCGCACGCTCGAGGGAGTGTACACGGTGTGGTATGCGGATTGGTTTGAATCAAGAGAATCGGCATGTGCGGAATTGCCTTGTGAGGGATTGCGTAGAGTTATGGCGTAGAGAACGTGTGAGTGATGACGTCGTCGTCGACTTGACTTACACCGTTTGCTCGCGGGGGAAGGGGATAGCTATCAATTGATGCGTACAACATGGCCAAGCCATTGAAGGCCATTCATTGCATTCAATGCTCGGCCCAAGCAAAATCGTCCAAGCGTTGCTGACAAGGTACTACTTGGCACAGGAAAAAAAAAATTAAAGGGACATCTGGACCGAAAAAAAATAATAAAGGCCTGTTACTCCATTCAGCTGCGGCGACGGCAATCTAATCTCCCTCCTGCGCACCCCCCAAAAAAAAACCCCCACCGGTGTCAACATTTTCGTCTTGTTGCTCTTCTTCTCATCCCCGCCTCTCCCCAACTCTTCAACATCGAAAAGAAAGGCCGCACACAAACACACAGCAATCATGTCGGAGCCCTTTCCGCTGCTCAACAGCCCCGCGGAGCAGCTGCACAGCCTCGAGGTCGAGGGCACGAGACGGCGTCGAAAATCCAGCGGTCTGGGCAGCGAGATTCGCGCGGGCGACACTGGCGCCCCGGCATTTGCCTCGAGCAAGGCCAGCCTCGACCACCACCATGGTCACCACGACTCGAAAAATGGCGGCGAGTCGTCGTCGTCGGCGGCATCTCCCAACGGCAGCAGCGCCGGCGGCAGCAGCAAGCGTCTCTCCAAACGCCGCCGTGCACGCGGCCTGCTCTCGCGCGTGCGGCAGACGTGCGTGAGGCACACGTGGGTGCTGCCCCTGGCCATCCTCTGCCTCTTCCTCTCGGGCTACGCCGTCAACCCGAGCGAATCCAACCCGCTGCACCGCTTCATCTTCCTCTCGTACCGGCTGCCGCAGAGCCAGGGCGACGCCTCGCAGCCCGTCCACTACGGCAAGGGCCCCTGGGACGTGGCCTTTGTGGCCTTCTACACCGTCGTGCTCTCCTTCACGCGCGAGTTCATCATGCAGGAGATGCTGCGGCCGTGGGCGCGCGCCGCCGGCCTCAGGCGCAACAAGCAGGCGCGCTTCATGGAGCAGGCCTACACCGCCGTCTACTTCCTCTTCCTCGGCCCGGCCGGCGTCTTCGTCATGTCGCGCACCCCCGTCTGGTACTTCAACACCCGCGGCATGTACGAGGCCTTCCCGCACCGCTCCCACGAGGCCCCCGTCAAGTTCTACTACCTCTTCCAGGCCGCCTACTGGGCCCAGCAGGCCATCGTCCTGCTCCTCGGCATGGAGAAGCCGCGCAAGGACTTCAAGGAGCTCGTCGGCCACCACGTCGTCAGCCTCGCCCTCATCGCCCTCAGCTACCGCTTCCACTTCACCTATATGGGCATCGCCGTCTACACCACCCACGACATCAGCGACTTCTTCCTCGCCACCTCCAAGGTCCTCAACTACCTCGACCACCCCCTCGTCGGGCCCTACTTCTTCGTCTTCGTCTGCGTCTGGATCTACCTCCGCCACGTCGTCAACCTGCGCATCCTGTGGTCCCTCTTCACCGAGTTCCGCACCGTCGGCCCCTTTGAGCTCGACTGGGCCACCGAGCAGTACAAGTGCTGGATCTCCCAGTACATCACCACCGCCCTGCTCGCCTCCCTGCAGGCCCTCAACCTCTTCTGGCTCTTCTACATTATCCGCATCGCCTACCGCTTCGTCCGGGACAGCACCGCCGACGACGACCGCTCCGAGGACGAGGACGACGCAGACGCCGTCGCCGACGAGCCCGCCAAGCCCGTTCCCACCTTGGAAATCAATGGAAAGGCTGTCAACGGCAACTCACATTAATAGCCGCTGCTGCTGCTCCTTCTTCTTCTTCTCTTTCTCTTTCTCTTCTCTCTTCTTCCGGCTTTTCCACCTCTTGAAGACGGCCCGGACCTACAGGGGAAATCTCCCCCTTTATACTTTATACTAATCTGTTTCATGTTGAAACCATTAATTACCATTATACTCTCTGTGCGCGTGGCAAAGCATGAGACGGCGTTGGGGAAGGCAATCACACTCGCTTACAAAGGCTTACGAAGGACGAGGGGACGGACGGATGCATGGCATGCACTGACGGAATTGACGCATTGTACGGACCGGAGCGTGTCTTTTTTTACATCTTCTTTGGCAGGCGGCGTAATGTGCGCATTTATCATAGTGTGGCCACTTTTTCTGTTTTAATATATATATATATGTATGTACATGTATGTATATTTGTAATTTTTCAAGACGGGCGTGGTCGTCCCACGAGGTTGTGCCTCATGTGTTCAGTTTGCAGCACTACGTGGGCCACATGTTGGCGAGCAATGATAATAATAGCCTTACTTTCTCATCACGTTTCGACACCCAACATCACCACGTCAAGTCAGTTCATTCCTGACCTAACGAGCTAGCGATACCTGTCCAAAGCAAACCGAAAAAAATTAAAAATCATCAAGTCCGCTAAACTCCGCTTGTGACGAATGTTTTCCCCCTCACCCCTAACTTCTTCCTAGTACCGCTAGGCCCCTGTTTCATGTCCTGTCATGAACTATGCCGGAGCCTGTGCATATTATTTTATTTTTCCCATTCGTGGTCGGAAAGAGAAAGAGAAAAGAGAAAACAAAAGCGGCAAAGGCAATGTCTTCGAAAACAACCAGCCATCTTTCATCTCACCAAATTCTTATTTCAACCCACCCCTGCTGTCTGATTCTAAGTACCTTGCGGTTAGACCCATTGCGCTTCGTGCCTCTTCACATGCAAAAAAAAAACCCAATCCTTCGATTTTCGTAAGAGGAATACACACCCTGTTAGGTCCAATGACCAAGAAAACCTGCTGAAGACAAATACCCCCCTGCTATGACCCGTCACCAAACCGTCCCTACAGCAGATAAGAGTGTCTCAGAGGTGTCGTGCGGCAGCGTTCCTGGTCTGGTAATGAGATAGTCACCTCACGAGTGACGTCCGATGAGTCGCAAAAGTCATAAAAGAAACAAAATCTTTGCCGGGCTTCTACCCAGTAGCTGTAGCTAGGTGCATAGTGTAGGCATGAGGTTGCATAGAAACTGAAGGGCGCATGCTCAAAGTCCAGAAAAAAACAAAAATAGTCATGACAACAAGCAGACACTGCTCCAAACGCCGGTCCAATGCAGTCTTGAGGTGTCGATCATAATGTAGGCGAAATGTTCAGGAAATATTAGAGGAAGAAAAATGGCGTCGCAAGCACCTCGCAGTAAGTTCCGAGACTGGGCCGTAGCCAAAGCCTTGCATTGCAGAAAACAAAAACAAGGAAAATAAAATAAAAATTAAATGGTGAAACCAACGCTGACAAGATTCATTTTCTGTACTTGGCCTTCTCGCACAACGAAAGAGAGTTGATGAGACTTCGGTCTACAGGATCCTGTAGTCTAGCCAAGCTTAGATGCTTGCTTGTCTTTCATGTCGGTCGTCTTCGCGGTCATGAGAATGAGTCGATTCGGCGTCGGACGATGAAGATGACGAGGCCGAGGTGGTTTCTTCTCCCATGTTACCACGACTTGTGGCATGGCCAGAGAGTGTCCCAGAAGAGCCAATGCTGTGATAATCTTCCATGGTGGCCTCCTCTGGCGTCTTTGAGCCCATGTTGGCCCGTCGCACGGCTCGTGCTGCTTTCAGGTGTGCCTCTCGGGCAGCATCCAAGGCCCGTTCAGCCCGAATCTGCTTCTCCCACATTGAGGCATACCGTCCGTTGGCGTCCAGTAGTTCATCATGAGTTCCTCTCTCAACGATCTCACCAGCGTGCAGCACAATGATCTGGTCGGCGTGAGTAATAGTAGATAGACGGTGTCTGTTCAAAATGTCAGCAAACTGCAGTTTTCAAATATCGAATCCTTCTTTGGAGGGCTACGTCAACTTACGCAATAATAAGGAGAGTTCGACCCTCCCCAATATTCCACACATTATCCTGAATCTCCTGCTCGGTATGGGTGTCTAGAGCTGAAGTTGCTTCGTCCAGCATGATAATTTTCGGGTTTTTAAGGATCGTTCGGGCAATGGCAACCCGTTGCTTTTCGCCGCCACTCAGTCTAAGCCCCCTCTCTCCAACCTGAGTATTGTATTTGTCCGGGAAACTCATAATTCGATCATGGATACTAGCAGCACGGCACGCTGCATGGACGTCTTCCTCGGTGGCCGATGGATTCGCGTACTGGAGATTGTACATCAGGGACTCGTTGAATAGAGTGGTATCTTGAGGCACAACACCAATCTGTCGACGCACAGACTCAATTGTTAGATCTTTGACATCTATGCCATCGAATTCTATGCTTCCTTCATCACAATCATAGTACCGAAACATGTGCCGGAACAATGTCGACTTGCCACCACCTGATTCGCCAACAAATGCTGTTGTAGTTCCTGGCGCACACTCGAAGCTAATGTTGCGCAAGGCTGGTTTGCGCCTATCATAGGCGAAACTGACGTTTTTCCAGCGAACATGACCGCGAAACCTTCTGAGAGGTACGGCATGTGGTGTGTCAACAACCGTGGGTTGAATCTTGAACAGCTCCAAAAGTCGTTCACCTGAGATCATGGCCTGCTGTACGGTTCTGTAAAAAGTACCAAAAAAGTTGAGAGGGCCTTGAAGTTGAGTAAGAAAAGCCACTACTGTGAACCATTCTCCCGTAGTCCGAACGCCGACGACAACTTGCCAGCCACAGACCAAAGACGCGACGATCCTACCCAAATTGAAAACCAGAGTCTGGCAGATATTCATCATAACCATACCCATCTGGACCTTGATTTCGGCTGCCTGAAATATAGCGACCTTGTCCTGGTATCGCCTAGATTCGAAATCCTCCGCATTGAAATACTTCACAGTTTCGTAACTCGAAATAGAGTCATTCTTGACAGCCTCCTCTTCACGGTCCGCATTCGTCATTTCACGTCTATGATCAGCACGTGTTGCCGCCATCTTGATAGTCATGTACAGATACCAGCAAGTATTGACAAGATTGATCTCGGCGTAGAATGGCCCAAAGACGTAGTAAAATATTACAATAGAGAGAAACAGGTCAAAAAGCATCGGAAGGACTTGGAATGTCACTTGTTCGAGAAATTGGTTAATCGCCGAGCCCTTGTTCAGCGCGGATAGGACCTCGCCAGTGCGCTTAGATAGGTGAAAGTCGAGACTAAGACAGTGGACATGGTTAAAGGCCGCAGTTGTTAGCCCTCGATAGGAATATTGCGACACCGGAATCCAGAGAAGTGATCTTATAGATCCCAGTAAGCCGGTTTGGCCCTGGAGAGTCCACAGACCCCCCAAGATGACGAAGTCTTGGAGAGGAAAATTTTCTGCTGTCAGAGGTTCACCACGTTGGACACGTCGGACTGCGTCGCCAAGACTATCCACAACACGTCCAATCTGCCAGGGAACTGTCGCATTAACACATCTCTGGAGAATCACCAGGATGAAACAAAACAGCACTTGAAACTTCAACCGGGTCGAATCCTTGGGCCACAAATACGGAAAGAATAATGAGTATCCACGAACGTACTCCACCCATGTTCGACGAGGGAGTTTCTCCGGGCGATAGAACGCAGCTTGTTCTTCTTTGCGGGACGTGCCGTAGCTTCCAGTTCGTGTTGCACTTGACAATGTCCGTCTGCGAGATCGTCGTTCTTGTGGGCCGTACGTCTGGCCATTGCCGTTCGCCGCCTCGTACGAGCCATTAGCCCGTCCATTAAGCAGTGGTGTAGACTCTGAACAAGAGGCTGCTTCAAGCTCGTGGTCGTCACGACGGGCCTTCATGATCCAGGCCACGCAGAAAAAGCCGATAAGGGCAACGATGTGTAAGAGGCGGACAAAATACAGAGCCAAGTCCATCTTGGTCCAAGAATCTATGCAACTCTCCTTGTCTTCAGAGCGAACAAGGTGGCAATCCGCTGCCGCAATGAAAGTAGTAACGAAGAGCACTAGCTCGCCACATAATCCCAAGACCCAGATGGTGAGGTGAACAATATTGGGGCCCTTCCTCCAGTCAAAAAGAGAAAAAAGGATATAAAGGTAGAAAAACGTGGAGCCAGTAACGTGGACCTTGCAATTTGCACAAAGATTAGCAAGCGGATTCCCATACGACAACATCCCAGAAAAAGAATCGCCTAGCGGGATCAGAAATATTGCGCGGCCGACTAAACGCCTATTTTCTAGGGAATTGAAACATACCACACTCCACTCGCCTGCCCAAGGCAAGCCTTCTCTGGACCATTTATAAGGGTTCTCATGCCAGAAGGCATGAATGAACATGGACACGCCAGTGCCTATATAGCTCAAGAACACTATAGCCGACAAGTAGCGGAAGACGTTCTTGGCCGCTGGTCCAAAACGCGGGCCTAACTTGCGCTCGCCATCGTCTCGCTTCTTACGCTTCGTGCTAGGCAGAGGCTTCCCACCAGGTCCCTTGACAGTGGGTTGGACAAGGTCTTCGTCCTTCTTTGAATTATAGACGCTGTACCAGGCGGCACCTGTTATAAAGGCAATGAGAAGCACCAACGAATATAAGAATTGGGTACAACGAAGGATGTCGTCGGTCAGATTGCCGTCGTCGAGGGCAGTCCCTAGGTCTCTCGGATCAGGAGGCTGATTCTCGTCGGCGGCTCCCATGGCGGACTAGAGCATGGATATCAAACAAATCGTTAGCAAAAAGTGGCACAGGGACAGTGGTAATAATTCATGGTTCGGATGTATTTTGTTTCTAAAGGAAAACAGGACGACAGAGAAAAGAGATGCTGCCTGGGGACAGGGGTGAGTTGGTCCCCCCGAAAGGGGAGGAGAGGCGTAGGTATTTGGAGACCGGCACGATGCCAACACTTGTTGGTCCTGGTATAGCCGGCAGCAAGAGGCGGTAAGGTGTCTCTTCTTGTAATGCAAGCACTCGATACTATTCCTCGCACCGACTCCCCGGGAGGACGCAGACGGGCAAATGTCACCAGCAAGTCGTTTCACCAAGAATGAAACAATTAGCGGGGTTGGTGCGGTCACATACAGAGAGAATTGAAGTATTGGCAAATCACCTGGAGCAAACCATTGCCCTGCCCGAGTCAATTGGCGGCAGCTGGTGATGCGCAAGCGAATGGGGAGAATTTCTTTGCCTACACCCGCAATGACGAGAAGCCCGAGAGGAAGCCGGGAGGAGGAGGGAGGAAACGATCGGCAGGGAGGGAGGGACGAGAGGTCGGAGGGAAGTACGGAAGTAGTCGAGCGAGGAGGAAAAAAGAATGATGGTGGTGGTTGAAGTTGATGTGCGGCGTGTTGCAGGTTCAAAGCCGAGAGTTGAAAGACCCGGGCTAAGTACTCCAGAGCCAGTGGCCATGTTCTGGTGTCAAGTTCCAAGTCTCTTTGTGTCGCTACACCGGGGCGGCGTCAATGCAGCAGGCGTGTCAGGTCTATCCAGGGTGGACTCTACAAGTGACGGTACCGCAGAGTACTTGGTCCCTGGGTGACGGAGCGCGTACGAGGTGGCTACTTGCATAAAAGTACTTGCAGAGTGCTGAAGTGCTCGTTGTATATATTTATAAGTACCTGGTGCGCAGAGCCAACAGATGCCCGCCAAATGCTAGACTTGGCCACGCAGCTGGCACGATGCTACTAGTAGTTGCACATAACTTTTTATACGCTAGCCAGCAGGTGCACCGGGTGCGCAGCTCCTTTGCATCGACTACTTAGCTTAAGTCAAAGGCGCACACCCTCCTCCACTAGCTGGTGGTGAAGCGTCGACTCTTGTTTACTAGTAAGTCTCTCCGGTATGGCAACGTGCGTATTGGAGTAGTGGTGTCTGCTCTGTCTACCACGTATGTACGTACATGCATGAGCCTTGTTGACCTAGCCGTTCGGCGAGACTCTCCGGGCGCAGCCAGATCTTTCTTTCCTATTATACAATTCTGCCTGGTACAATCTCTTGATTTCAAATACACACATACACTGACAGGCCTTTAGGGCGTGAACCCACGGGTACACCGAGTCCATGATTCAATCAATTAATCAAGCAATGGCATCAATCATGTCGACTCTTTCTCTTTCCTGCCGACGTCCCAGCAGAGCGTCCCACCCTTGACTGGGCCTTTAACCTCTTCGACCATCCTGGACAAGCCCTTGTCTCGCTGCCACCCCCCGGCCCCAGCGTGTCGATGGGGTCTAGTACATACTACTAAGTGCGGACAAGACGGTGGGTGTGGATGAGACCGAAGACGACGACTCTGGAGGGAGGAGTGCAGGTGCGCTGCATGGATGGGCGTCGAATTAGTAGGAATTGGGCGGTCATGGGAGGTGGCCATGGCCATCCGCCCCCTGTGCTCCGTCTTGCACGGGAAGTTGTGTGCTTCTCGAACCAAAGTAAAGGTGCAAGGCGGCATTGAACTAGTAATAATCTTCGACTGAAGTATACCCATGTCCAGGAGGTTGAGCCCGAAGCATCGCGGGCAATCGACACTCCAAATCACTGGAACAGGGCGTGTGTCGGAGAGAAAGAGGGGTGTGTGTTTCAGTCAAACTCGAAGGACTCGACGACTGGTTCACACGATGCATGTACATTGCTACATAGTACAGACATGGGGGCAATGGTTGGTTGTACGAAGTGTATGTAGTACTACTGGCCTCGATCCTGGGCCACCAGCTGTTTGTGCTACGCGAGAACCGGGCCCACGATTGACTGATCTGAATGAGCGAGCATTGGGACATTGGCAATTGGGCATTAGACCAGAGGATATGGGACATGGGGCATGGTACATGGCGTGTCAACATACATACAATATTAACAAATACGTTCCAAGGTTCTTCGAAATTGAATGGGGGCACACGACACTTGACTAGAGAACACAGCATGCCATGAATCGAATGAGACGTTTGATGCTCCCCTCATGGTTGATGCTTTGTCCTTGACATGACACGTAAACCATATTATCTGCATGGGCTCTCAAGGCATCTCCTCCGTATGCTCACCATGCACATCACCACCTGAGCCCATAACCGCATTGTCGCTCGCTGATAGAAGCCCTGTGTAAGCAATTCTGACAATCTCGACACGAGCTCACTTCCGACCTCGAATCTTTGCCGTTTATCCACATTTCAGCGTCGATTCATAACAGGAAGAATAGGTGGGTGCCACGAGCGTTAGACGCTCCCGTGCCCAGTGCCCAGTGCCCAGCGCCCAATCCGTGTGATTATTAACTATTAGTACAACATTCCCAGAGACCATCAATCCTGCGGTTCTTGGATAGTCGATGGCATCACCAAACAGCAGAGGGCCGGTTCGCAACGGAAGCAACGGCAGCAACTAACCCCAGGTCAGCTTGTCAGTCATCATGTCACTGGTCAATTTGATTAGCTCTGGCCATATCCCTGCTCCAGAATTCCGGCCATTGGCTCTGTTCCAGATGGCCTTTGGACATCTGGATGTCGCTTCTTCTGATCGGCAACCAGGCGGCCTGCAAGTCGGGCTGCTGGAAGGCGTGTTGATGCCGCTGTGGAGCCAGAGTTACCAGACCTTCTCTGTGGTAGCGCAGGCCCAGGGCCTAATAGCCGCCTAGTGGGGCAGCTGACCTTGCCCCGAGTAGCACTGGCGTCTGGTTCGAAGAGGCGCTCTAGTCAACTACGAACACTTGGAAGGACCAAGCCCAAGGGTCCACGGGCAAATTGGTGGCAACCACAAGCCATACTATTATTGTACAGCCACGCCCGAGCCAGAATAAGAATGGCCGGGATAGAACGCCGTTGATGATGGGTGATGTATCATTGCCGTTCTGTGTACGGAGTACCATGATTAACTCCCGTGTCCAGTCCGCATGTGCAACTGTAAAGTCAACGAGTAAGCGCAATTAAAGCATAGGAATGACATCGCATCGGCTCCACGGAGCATACTATGTGCAATGTATACCAGGCCTTTGCATGACTGGTGTGAATATGGATATGGATATGGATACGCCACTGCTTCGGCTCTCAGCACCCAGTCTCCAAAACAGCACGTGTTCTGTGTAATAAAGAAATTTTTCACTCACGGGTTCATTGTCGATGACTCGACGGGCTCTGCCATCATGTTGCCACTTTCGGCAGTGGCCACCACCACACTACCCAAAGTGCTCCATCATCCTCAGCCATGGTCAATTGTGATTTAACAATGGCAGTATCTGAACGAACCTAGCACCGCTTCACCCATAGTGTCGTCTACGACAGTGCGTCATCCATCCGCCTTCAGATAAATCCAATGCCAGGGGGACGACAGCTTGGCAAGGCGATCTGACATCCCTCAGCCTCGTGACATGCATTACCCATTGCCCCAAATTCTAGCTTTGCGGGGTTCTTACCACTGCCTAGTCAATGGTACTAGGAAGCATGAAAGACCATGTGGTAGAATAGAGTCCCGTGCCTATCAGCCAACCAGCCCGTGATCAAAACTGTGTCCACAAACGCCGAATCATTACTCCAGCGTGGTGCACTAAGACTGAGACAGCAACAAAACCTGCTTGGTGCATAGAAACAGCGGCGCTTTTGGCAAATATCCTCCAGATGTTGCTATTTGCTCTCATGTTTGGGCGTGATTAGCAAAATCAACACCCTTGTACGGAGTGATGGCATTCGCGTAGCTTCGGCACGCCATTTTAAAGTTATTGGGCAAGACCTCATCTGGTGACCGTGAGAGTCGACCGCCTCCTGCGCAAGAGCTCCATGTCCATGGGGGGCCAGGAAAACGGAGGTGGACGTGGTTTGCTGTTTTGGCCTAGAGGATCACGGGCCTTCATCTTGCGAGTCGGGTTCTTTGTCCAACACGCGACGTACATACAGTGTCTGTGCAAAAGTAGGTGTTAGGGGAGAAAAGAGTCTCAACGGCGTATTTCAAAAGTTATTTTCCGGTGAGGTGGCTGTCGAGAAAATTTTATCTTCTATGCATACTTTTCAATTAGATTCTGACATGCTGGGTTTCATCTTGAGCACGGTTTATAAATACCGATGGTACAAGAATAGTATGTGCCTTGAGCATTCAACTTAGCTTGGCTTCACGTGGGTTTACCATTCGACTCCGAAACCTCACTCCGCGGCTGAGGCTGTTGCAGTGGTGTTTTCCCTCGAGTTTCCAACCAATAAATTTACAATTCAGGGAATGCGCATAAGTAGAGGCGGTTTCAAAGTTGCTCAGAAAGTGGATTTTTTAAAGTTGAGTGATGCTGTATGGAAGTTCTGGTTAGGAAATTCCTCCAAGCAACCAGGAAACGAGCAGGCTATTCTGTGCCCGACGCACATGGTTCGTTTTTTTTTCTTGGTTAGAGCTTAGGTTTTAGAAAGCTATGGACTCTGTATAGTCGATGAGGCTGTAAATGTTCACGGCGCCTGAATTTCGGTGCGAATGTCCGATCTGCAGGTCTCGGTCAACACACCGAATGTCAAGCGGGGGACCCCGCTCTCTGCTCCTCGAGTCTGGTTCCAGGCGGCAAGCTGTTGCCAGGCACACTCCGTATTTTCTACGCGTGTCGTACATGCGGGGAAAATGAGAGGAAATGTTGTTAACAAGTGTTTTACAGGCCAGACGGTCGGTAGAAGACAAGGTCCTGGGCAGTTTCTCAGAGCCAAGGGGTTGGCATTTTGAGAAAACATAGGAAGTGGCGTTGTGTGGC